TTTTGACAATAGTGGAACAACTGGCCATTCAACAACAGATTGAGCTGCTTCAGCAGCAACAACAACAAATTGCGGCGACACACCAACAGTATGTGAACATGGGACTTTTACAGCCACAGCAACTGGGTCAGGTTCCTGCATTCTCTCCTTCCCTTCAGGGCGGTGCGTCCATGGGGGGCGTTTCCCCTCAGATCAACGCCTTCCAGTTTCCCCAGCTAGCTCAACAACAGCTTGGCGTACCCATGAACACTCCTAGTCAGCACTCGCACCGACGCAATCAATCCGCACTTCCCGGTCTGCCCATGGGCCCTCCCCCTGCCCCATCCTCAGGCGCCTCCGGATACACTGATTACAACGCCCAGCAGGGTAACCCTCAGCAGAAAGAAAACAATAATCATGGTCGTAATCGGGGGCCTCCAGGTGGTGGCCACCAACGTCGTCATTCGCTCGCTTTACCAGAAGCTAAGAAGGCTGCGGAGCTCGCTCAGCAAAAGAGAACAGCATCCGGTTTTCAATTCCCCGCCCCAGGCGCCGGGGGCAGCTCGGAGAACCTATCAGGCTCCGAGGATAAGCCGACCGCGAGCACACCACAACCTCCCCAGGGGCTTGGTCTGCACCGCGCTGGCAACATCCGGGCTGGCGCCCATGGTCGCAGTCAATCCGTCGCTGTCGGCAACACCCGGGGATCGCTGTCCGGACGCGGTATGGGTGGCTTTCAATTTCCACAATCCAGCGACATTGGGGGGCAGTCTGACAACCAACGGCGTGGTAGCCAGCCCGGCCATGCACGTACCTCATCGAGAAATTTCGACAGTAACTGGCGTCAGCCTAACAATCAGAATCAGGCACAGGATCAGCAGAAGAGCTTCGGACAGCAAGGTAGCAATTTCCAACCCGGCCACCGCGCTCGTGCGTCCATCAACCAATCGATCGGCTCTCTCGGCTCTCTCGGCTCCTTCCAGTATCCCGCCCAGCCCCAGCTTATCCAGTTGCCTCAGGGCCAGGTTGTTATGGCGCCACCTCAAATGTTCGGCGCTGGCCAGCAGCTAAGCCCCTTGCAACTGGCACAGCTCCAAGCCCTGCAGCAACAAAACGGTCAACTGAGTGGTCAGGGGCTCGGTCTGCAGGCTAGCCAACACGCTCCGCCACAGCTCTCTGTTCAGCAACAACAGCAGCAACAGCAACAGCAGCGCAAAACCCTATTCACTCCTTATCTGCCGCAGGCGAACCTGCCCGCTCTTCTGAGCAACGGTCAATTGGTGGCTGGTATTCTTCGAGTCAATAAAAAGAACCGTTCCGACGCCTATGTGACCACTCCGGATCTGGACGCCGACATCTTCATCTGTGGAAGCAAAGACCGGAACCGTGCGCTCGAGGGTGATTTTGTTGCCGTTGAACTCTTGGACGTGGACGAGGTGTGGTCTCAGAAGAAAGAAAAGGAGGAGAAAAAGAAACGTAAAGATATCACAGATGCTCGCTCCGGCAGCACCGCGGGAACGGATAAATTATCGAGGTCGGACTCTGGTGCCAATGGCGATCGCCAGGAAATTGGACCCGATGGCAGCATCCGGCGTCGTGGTAGTCTACGCCAACGACCGACACAGAAGAAGAATGACGACGTTGAAGTCGAGGGCCAGAGCCTGCTCCTCGTCGAGGAAGATGAGATCAATGACGAACAGAAGCCTCTTTATGCGGGTCACATTGTTGCTGTCATTGAGCGTATTGCCGGTCAAATGTTCTCGGGAACTTTGGGGCTCCTTCGGCCTAGCAGCCAGGCCACAAAGGAGAAGCAGGAAGCTGAACGCCAGGCCAGAGATGGCGGTCACGGCCGTCACCAGCACGATCGTCAACAGGAAAAGCCGAAGATCGTGTGGTTCAAGCCCACCGACAAGCGAGTCCCCCTCATCGCTATCCCTACTGAGCAGGCACCTCGCGATTTCGTGGAGAAGCATCAGGAATATGCTAACCGTATCTTTGTCGCTTGCATTAAGAGATGGCCAATCACATCCCTTCATCCCTTTGGTACTCTCGTGGAACAGCTCGGTGAAATGGGCGATTTGAAGGTGGAAACAGATGCTCTTCTCCGGGACAACAATTTTGGTGCCGACGAGTTCTCGGATGCCGTTAGCAAGAGCATCGGCTGGGAGGACTGGTCCGTCGCCAGCGAAGGCGATGCGCTTCTTGAGTCCCGTCGGGATTTCCGTTCCGAAACCACCTTCACCATTGACCCAAGCGGAGCCATGGAGCTGGATAATGCCTATCACATCAAGCCTCTGGCCGATGGCAAGGTCGAAATTGGTATTCATGTTTCTGATATCGCCCACTTTGTGAAGGCAAACTCTCTGGTTGACCGGGAAGCAAAGAAGCGAGGCACGGCGGTCTACCTCATGGATCGACTGGTCAATATGCTGCCTCGGCGAGTCTCTACGGAGCTCTGCTCTCTCCTTCCGGAACAGGATCGCCTTACGGTCAGCGTTGTATTCACTGCCGACCCACAAACCGGCGCCGTTGACGAAGATGTCTGGATCGGCAAGAGTATCGTCAAGAGCGCAGGCAGATTGAGTTATGACGAGGTTAACTTTGCGATCAAGGGGGAGTCCAATTTATCCGTGGCCGGAATCTCCGCCAACACTATTCAGACCCTGAATGTCGGTAACACTTGATTCTCATTTTCTCCATGACTGAGCACTAATTTAATATGGGTTATAGGCCATCACGCAAAAGTTTCGAGAAGCCAGGTTTGGCAACCGTGTCTCGAACCCGCCACGTCTGCGCCTGCTATATCAGCTGGATGATGAGAATGTGCCTGTAGAAAGGAACATCTTCGATTCTACTGATGCACGCGAGCTGGTGGAGGAATTGAGACACAAGGCGAACTTCTTCGTTGCCCGCAGATTGGTTTCCGCCATGCCCGATAAGGCCTTCCTTCGCCGTCAACTGTCGCCTAACTCACGCCGCCTTCATTCCTTCATTGACAGGATGAATCGCCTCGGCTATGACTTTGACCCTTCGAGCAGTGGAACTCTGCAGAGCAGCCTTTGCAAAGTACAGGATGATGATCTGCGGAAGGTTCGTGTTCAACCTTGCTACGGACATTGCTTTATTCCGCGGACTTACTGACCGGAATTAGGGTATGGAAACTGTTTTGTTGAAGGCGATGCAGCGTGCGAAATACTATGTGGCTAGCACTGTACAGGATGAGCAGCGCCATCACTTCACGCTCAACCTACCCGTCTATACTCACTTTACCAACCCGTCCCGTCGCTATGCGGATATTGTCGTTCACCGTCAGCTCGAGGCCGTCTTGTCGAATGGTGCAATTGAGTTCTCGGATGACGTGGAGTCCCTGAGCAAGACAGCGGATCTGTGCAACACCAAGAAGGATTCGGCACACAATGCGCAGGAGCAGAGCGTGCATATTGAGGCCTGCCGTAGTATGGACAAGAAGAGACAAGAGATCGGTGGCGATTTAATCAGTGAGGGAATCGTTCTCTGTGTCTACGAGTCGGCCTTCGATGTCCTCATTCCTGAGTTTGGTTTCGAGAAGCGCGTCCACTGTGATCAACTACCTCTCAAGAAAGCCGAATACCGCAAGGAGACGCGTGTCCTGGAGCTCTACTGGGAGAAGGGTGTTCCGTCTTCTGCCTACATTCCAGAGGACGAACGGCCTAGACCTGCCAACTCCCGCGCTGCCCAGGCTGCGGCCGCGGCTCGCGAAGCAGAGGCTGCAAGAGAGCGTGCGCGCGAACGTGATGAGGCGATCCGCAAGCAGACTGAGACTGGAACCATGTCTGCCGATGACGTGGATGCTCTTTTCGACGATGACGACGACATCTCCGAGGTCACCGAGATGGCTGCAGGCGTCTCTTTGAACTCGTCTGCTGACCGCACAACACAGAGCATGCCACCTTCACCGACTCGTAATGGCCATGTTCAGCAGACTCCTCACCGGACTCGGTCCGATCCAAAGATGCCAAGCAGCAACAACGACGTGCCGGAAGCCAAGTTGACCAACAAGGAGAAATACCTCAAACTGTTCAAGCTCCGCGAGGAGGACGGAGAGTACATTCAGGATGTGACCGAGATGACGCGGGTTCCCATCATTCTCAAGACTGACTTGACTAAGAGCCCTCCGTAAGTTGTCCCTCAGTAGCTCTCGATCATTTCGGATACTGACTAACATGATTCTTTTGTAGTTGTCTCACTATTCGCTCCGTCAACCCATATGCCTTGTAAAGGCGAAGAGTCTTTTAGGTCACTTACTCGGATACTCGAATACTCGAATACACTTGCATGTTTATACTTCAGGTCTTTATGGCTGTAATATCGATTCGAGTATGGGTATGCGTTATTCCATCAGCCGCCTGTCCACTGGAGCTGTTTGCGTACTATTACACAGCGCAGTTACATGGCGACTTGCTTCAAATGGACGTAGATTGCAAAAGGTCAGTGGGTGGTAACCTAGAGAGAATTCAGAAGTGTTGGAAGTGACCCGAATGAGTGGACCAAGCGTAATCGTGGTAGTTACGCGACAGCATCTCTCAAGAGCTGGCCGCAGGTGAAACCTCGGCGGGAATTTGTCTACGTTTTCAATGTTAAATAGTTGCATAGCTTATATTATTGGCGGTTTCGGATGGCTTGATTGTCTTCTTGTCGACAGACGCTGGGAAGGCTCCAGTAGTTAACTTTCCACTGGCTATCATTAGTATACGATGACTATAACGGACTAAATTGTCATCCTTATTCCAGAAGCACAATGCTTGCTATACTAAGTTCGACGCATGCGTCGCTGATGTAGGGAAGAGATATAAAGATGGAAGAAATCGCAAACCCCTAGCACCATAGCAGTTCATCCCAACGGGAATTGACCACCACCGAGTCCCAATGCGTCCGCATATGCCCTTTCCAACGCCAAGACAGACCAGAGAAAGCCAGAGACGCACAGAAGCACGCAGTGGTATCGACAAAAGTAACCAGAAATCGCATACATATACCTGGCTCTATAACCTGCGGATCCCAATCCGAGGCTTCGCCTTCATGCTCGAGGATGAGACCTTCCGCGAGCCAGACACCGCCCGGGACTTGGAGCCCGACGGACAAGTAATCGCCTTGGAAGGGGCGAGAAGAGACGAAGGGTAGTGAGGACTCTTCCGTGCGGACGGGCCCATCTCCTTGGAGGCATTGAGCGCAGCATGATTCTCCTTGCTGTCGTTGCTGTGATGGGACTGCAGGTCCGAAGGCTCCGAGGCATCTTCGAAGATGATGATCACGTCATCGCGAATCCGGGCTGAGGCGTTGAGGCCTTTGTCGAGGAGGGAGAGCTTGGGGGATTTTCGCTGCGATTGCGGTTGTGAGGAGGAGTCGCGGTGCGGGGCGTGGTTGGCGGCGATGTTCTTTTCTGAAGTGGTCATTTGTGCCTTGTCTGTTGTTCGTGCGGGTGTGAGATGGGGTTCCTCTGGGTCTGGATCTAGGGACATGGTGAGGTCGGAGAGAGGTCGTTTGCCGTGGGTGTTTTTGCGGGGGCTGGGAAGGGCGAGTTTCACGGGCGAGGGGGAGAGTGATGGGTCGTTTTCTTTGGAGGTGGAGGGGCGGGTGGTTTCGCCGTCGTTTTCGCTTTCATCATCCGATTCTGGGTTGTTGTCGTGGGCGTCGGCGCTGGTTTGGGTCGATGGCTGCGGTGTCACACTGGGCTTCTTCGTTTTCATCGTCAAGGACTGCACCCTTGTTCCTGTGCGTGATTGCAGACAGCGGGTACCCTCGTGCTCTGGGACGAGTGTTCCGGCCTCCTCGCCCCTAGATTTCGCCTCTACAACTGCGGTTTTCAGATCTGGTGGTACGGGGGCGTGGATCGATGTCATGAGCTTCGCCTGGCGCGCGAACGCATCGTAGTCTTCTTGCAGGAGAGCGCCGGCCGTGGAATTCAGCGCGGAGTCGGGGTTAGGGTAGATGAGGAGGCAGGAGATGGTCTAGTCCAGGGGAGTCAGTTGCTTTTTTCTGCTAGGAGGATAGTAGGAGCACGCACAACTAGGACGTCTTTCAACGTCAACGTCGACTTCCAATCCCTCTTTAGCGTGTCCACGCACACTGCGCCAGTCGACTCCTCCACGTTCGGATGCCATATCCGGGTCTTGAATGTCGCCTTGGGCGGACTCTTCGGGTAATCCTCTGGCATCTTCAAGTGTAATCGCCACAGACCCTGGGAGTACGGTGTGCCCTGTGGACCAGCCAGCAGGGTGGTGAGTTGGGTCAGATCATCGGATGATTCTTCGGTAGGGAAGAGGTAGTTTGGAGGGAGTTCCTCGTGCAATGCAGCGTGGTCTGCGGCTAGACGGCGGAAGGATGAGCGCTGAAGAGCGTCAGTATGGCCAAGGTGCTTCTATTTTGCGCAATTAAAACTGACCATTTTGTCGTCGTCGTTGATTTCCACTAGGATCAGACTGCGCTGGACTGGGGAACTCGATTGATCTCGGATATTTGGCTGACTGTAGCCTCACAAAGGACAAAAGGGCTAGATATGTCTATAGAAGCCAGACCGAGTGTCGATCGCAGCCTTGTTATTGCCAATCAACACTTTAGCTCTGCATTGTTGGTCTTTTGTTTTGATGATGTGAAGCTGATGGCCGCACTAGCCCGAAAGTGGCAAGGAATGGATGTGGAGATACGGTCATGTGACCCACACGCGACGCGACTCGCGTTTTAGGAAAAGTAATTGATTTCTGCCTTGGTGCCTGGTTTATTCTAACAATACCAGCTACAGTATGACTTCGTTCGAATAGCAACGCATTGCAGAGATATTATCTGTCACTAAGAGCATACCATGACATTGGTCGTCATATAAAGCTTCTTTAAATGTCTCCTGTTCTACTATGTCTAGCTTCAGCCGCCTCCGGACTAGTCCTGCCGATTATTGTTAACCTCGTCGAGGTCAAGAAGTGTTCCTGGCTTTTGCCCTGCCTATTGCGCTGCTCGAATGAATGCGCAGGCTATTGTAATCTGGAGCTGTGGCTGATAGGCTGCTGGTGCTCTGCGAGTCAGAGGTATAATTGCGTTAACAATCTTTTCCTGCCGTGGAGAGTATCTCGCCCAATTGGGAGACAACCGTTCCAGAAGAGGGTTGCAGAGTGTCAGCACCGGATGCATATGATGCAGGCTGATGATGGTCTCAGCTTCTTTGCAGATTTCAAGCAGTAGTTCATGAGTGCTAGATCATTGAGATGGAGCGTTTGATTGTCAACATAATTGCCTTGAATATACCATACCAGCAAGAGGCTTTGCAAGATGATATGCCATGCATCAATCCATTCCATGATCACTCAACATCATTCGTCCCCATGACCTTGTCCAGACTCTTCTCCGCCGTCTCCCACTCTCTCTTGATCACATCCAGCACCCAGTCCCCTCTAGGCTTGAGCTTGAACCTCCGTTCCCGTGGCATAGTCATGAATCCCACCACGACCATCTCCCACGGATCCACCGGTTCCGCCCCGTCCTCCAGCTCGACATCAAACGCCCAGAGCAAATTAGCAACCTGCATGAACGTCCCATCGATAGCCACCCTCCTCCCCTGGCAGATCCGCCGACCCTGCCCAAACACTGGCAGCGGAAGGTCGCTCCGTAATCTTTCCTCCCCACGCTCACCCTCCCGCAACCACCTCTCAGGAACAAACTCCTGCAGGTCCCCAAGCGCAGGGTCAAAGACCTGCTCGTCCCGGCCGATAGCCCACGCATTCGCCATGACAGTCACGCCCTTTGCGATCTTAACGCCCTTGAACTCGTCATCCCGGTCCGCGCGACGCGGGATGGAGCCCGGCGCGATAGGCCGCCAGCGGAACAGCTCGTGGGCTACGGCGTCGATGAAGGAGAGGCGTGCGCGGTCCGAGAACCGCGGGAGACGGTCCCGGCCGACGACCTCGTCGAGGACGGCGTGCGCGCGCGCCACAAACGACGGCTGGTGCAGTGCGGCGATGAAGAGCCAGAGCAACTGGCGCGGGGATGTCTCCATGCCGCCCTGGATGGAGGTGGCAAGGGTGAAGGCGAGGTCGAGGTCGGGGACTTGGGAGGATGCAGGGGCGTACTTGCCCGCCGTTGAGATGGCCTGCTTCGTGGCGTTCCAGCCGGTGGCGTCCCTCCCGTGGTGGAAGAGGCGCATGTAGAGGTCGACTTGGGCGGCGTAGAGGCGGTCCGCTGCGCGCTTCCAGGGGGATAGGACGGCGGGGAGGTGGCGCAGGGGCGGAATGAGATCGGGTAGGCCGGGGTTAGCGGCGAGGTGGGTGACCTGGACCTGGATGTTGATGATCTCATGCAGAATGTGCTCGTCGGCGTGCGGGATGCGCAGGCCGTAATGTAGCGCCAAGATGACACTGGACTGGGTGCGCTCCAGTTGCGGGTAGATGGTGTTGGTGCTGATCGTGGCGCCGTCTGGACAGCGCTGCAAGGCGTTGGCTAGGTCGACCAGCAGCTGTTTGGCTTCGAGTTCCATCAGGGGCTGGTACTTGGGGGCGGCGAGCGAACCGAGACTGGGAGAGAGGATGCGGTGGTGCAGCTTGAGATGGTCATCGTAGTCGTGCATCAGCGTGAAGCGAGACTGGCCTGGCGGAGCGCCGGTGATCATCTCCATGCTCACCGAGGACGGACGGTTGCTGTACCACTGGCTGCGGCGGCTGAACAACTCCGTCGCGGCCTCGTAAGAGTTGAGCACGACAATTGGGATGATCCCAAACAGCCTGGGCACTGTTATCGGGCCATTCTGTCTGGCCCAGGAGTCCCAGTTTGCCAGGGGCTTTTCGATGGGCGAGCTATGGAGATCGCCGATAAGAGGGAGTTTAAGGAGGTTGACCTTTTTGCTACCATTCTTTCTGCTGATATACAACAGTGTTAACAGACCTATGACGATGACAACTACGCCAGCAGTTGCAGCCATACTGAGGTCAACAGATGGTTGAGATGTGGAGGAGTGCGGCAGTGGCCTGTCAATTGCAGGGTTTCGGCAGTTGGCCGGGGAGGAGCTTGTTGGATGCGTTATTAATCAGCCTGCTATTCTCTAGTGAGGCTAGAATGGTCGTCTAGACGCCTTGTTTAGTCGAAGGGTTGGAGAGCTCGACTTATGATGCATGAGACTAGTCCTTGATCTAGTACATAGTTAGTCTACTATAATGCAACGGCGGCAACCGTTTCACCGGCGTTTCGCCGACATTATCCGAGTTGCAAGCAGTTATCTGGACTCAATATGCCGACCTCGCTCGCTCATAAGACACTCAAGAGAAAGGCAGAATGACCCGCCAATATGGAGAGGTTATTCCCATGACGTGAAGCAGGCCAAGCCATAAGTCACAAGACTGGGGCTTGACGGAACCGAGCCGAGCACTATAGAGTATGCAGAAAACAGGGCGCTATTCTTATGAAGTTGCACATTCTGGCTTTCCTTGAGGAGACAGGTCATAAACTTCCAATCGCAATTGTGATATGTTACTGCAATTCTCGCCTTGCTCGAGTCCTGGAGTAGTGGTGTGGTATGTAGAGAACTGTCTTTTGCACCCCTTGTCAACGGTCAGTATCCCAACAACAAGGCTGCAGCAACGCCAAAAGCACGGAAAGTGGGCCTGGCCCCCTGGTAAGCAGGATCCTATCTCTAATCCCTGCAATATTTTGGCTCCCATGGCATTTAACCCTGGGCACACCCTGATGAGGACGTGAAGGGGTCCGCCTGCTGTCCACGTCTGCCAGTTCCTCGCAGCCGGTCTCTGAAGAGATGACGGTCATTTTTCCCATCCAGACTCGGGACCAAAGGGCTGTGCTCGCTGTGGCCCTCACTTTCTCGATCCTGGCCGTCGTCGCAGTGTCCTTGCGCTTGTTGGCCCATCATATCGCGCATAAAAAATGGACATCGAGTGACTACTTCCTCATTGCCGCCTGCGTAAGTCAGAGTGCTTTCTTGGTCATCTAAAAATTACTTATACGTCTATCTCGCAGGTCTTCGCTGTCGGTCTCCAGTCGATCAGTATCACCGCTGTATTCCAAGCCGGCATCGGCTTCGACCATGTCCCGTCCATCGTGGCCGTCTACGGGGTGGAGCCCGTCACCAGACTGCTCCAACTGATCATCCCGCTGCAGTTCACATGGGTGCTGAGCCTCAGCTGCACCAAAATCTCGATTTTGTTGCTGTATCTGAAAATCTTCCCCGTCGAGCGGGTCGTACGGATCGCCTGGGTCACCATCGGCGTCATCGTCGCTTGGGCCATCGCGACAATCCTAGCCGGGTGTCTCATCTGCCGGCCCTTTGCCTTCAACTGGGATCATACCATCCCCGGCGGATCGTGCGGAGACCAGGTCACCTCGTTCACGGTGACGGGGGTGATCAATCTGGTAACTGATGTGGCCGTGCTCGTGACGCCGATGCCGTCGCTTTACAAGCTGCAGATGGCAACGTACAAGAAGGTGACCTTGATTACCGTTTTTGGATTGGGAGTAGTGTAAGACCCTCTAAGTTCAACATTTTCGCTCCCTTGCCCCTTAGTATTCTGATACTGACTAAACCAGCACCTGCATCATCAGCGCCCTCCGGATCTCCGTGCTCTCCTCAATGGACTTCACCGACATCACCTACACGATCCCTCGCGCCAACATCTTCAGCGGCCTGGAACCCTGCCTCGCCGTCGTCCTTGCTTCGGTCCCGATGATGCGACCGCTACTGGGTCGGTCGGTCTACACGCCCAACGGAACAGGTCCCAAGTCCTCCTCCCCGTCTGCAGGGCCCAAACCAGACCCCTCCGCTTCCGGTGACGGATTCCACCGCCTGGACGACAACTCGAGCCAGTTGTGCCTGCAGCCGTTGGGGCAGAAGAAGATTGCTGGTGTCGGCGTAAGGGAGCAGGATTCTTTGAGCGGGGGAAGCGAGGAGTCGCTGACTCTTGAGACTAGGAGGCCGAGGGAACCGGCTCTAGGCTAGAGTGGACTCCTTTCTTTTCAAGAACAGCTTCAGGGGAGAAATCCCTGGCCAAATAATGTCGTATGTCAATGAACTGCTCGTACCTATATTCCGAATCTCCACGAGACTTCAAATATGGATGTCGCAGTGCTTCACATGCCGCTGGCCTTTTCGTATGATCCACCACAAGCAGAAATTCAATAAGGTCCAGTAACTCAGACGAGATCTTTGGTCCCGGTAGCTTTTGCACCTCTTCGGGTAAGGAGCCTACCTGAATGAACGGAGTCTCCAGACCAGTGTCCGGATGTTTGAACGCCGACAACTCCAAATATTCGCGATGAGGATTTCAATTCATAATCGCCATTGCTGGTAGGAGGTCCTATATGCCCAACAAGACATCGACTCCTGGCAATACACCATGCCTCCATCAGGTTCTTGACTATATTTTCCTTGGCCCCGAATAGGGCCCTCTGAGCGGGTCAATACCGACTCCCACAAGTAGCCTGCGTCTCTTTGGAGTACAGATAAGAGTCCGACATGCAGTAACACCAAAGAACCACACATCTGATGAACGGAATAAGGGCGTAGTGAATCTGGCCGCAATGGCCGCATGATATCGCTAATTTGGGATGCTGTCGGCTGCAATGGAGCAGACTGGGCGCGATTATGATATGGCTGTTTGGGTAGATTAATCTTCAATTGCTGTCCAATGTATAGAGATCAAGTTACCTCCCTGTCTAACACGCGTAGGTCAAGGGATTGACGCGCCAGCCGCCGGCGGCGGTCTTCTGATTTCTCATTCTCTAGGTGAGGTGCATCCCATTGCTCCTGGACACAACCAGTCGGGTTCAAAGAAGGGCAGGAAGAGAACTTATACCAGTAGGTATATATCCAGTGGAAGATGTTGGCATGCGGGGCACGATCTCACCTTCCCATTCTGTGTTGATATGAAATGGCATGCTTGGATGGAAATAACTGAGAGTAGGAAGAGAGCAGCGAGTGTGTTACCAAGATGGTTCAAGGTTTAGTATCTGGGTCAGCATCATGTTTACCATGGTTATATCTACGGTGGTCTTGGTGGCTACGGGCATTTCTCGAAAGACCTGATCAAGAGTTTTCAGGACTACAGATGAATGTCATTGATACATTTTCCTGTATGCGCTGTATATATCATGATAGTTGTGATGTCGCTATCAGATCATGCTGTGTAGACTATTGCCTGTACGGACATAGCCCTAGAAAGTAGCCCTAAGTCTCCTAATACAGCCTCAAGCCCATCCGGATGTATATACGGCTTATGTGTACCTGGAACCCCCATGACGACATGCCACGTTCATCAATTAAATCTTGCTAATGTAGCAGTATGATGTACTACGACCAGATCTGTCTTGGGATCCAGTACTTGGCTTATTTGTTGATTTAAATGTACTCCACATCCAGAAACCTTAGGATGTCTCTGACCAGTCCGAAACGTAGCCCGCAAAGAGGGCCTGTCTTCCCCCGGAGGTCGCGCCGACTGGCTGGACAGACTCCTGAGGTCGACACTTGGACGGCAGCTCGGGCCCGGCAGCGGTCCGTCTCCATGTCCCGTCGGCAGCAGTCAGTGAATGGCATGACGGAACCGTCCGAGACATTCACTAATTTGGTAGACGCTGCGAGGGCGAGGGTTGAGAGTTATGTGAATGGAGAGAGACCACACGAAGAGTATCTCCGTCCCTGCCTGAAGGCCTTTCTGGAATGGTTGCCACCAGGAGGTCAAACCTCTGTGGCCAGAGACATCGTCAACGCTGGAAATGATGACCAAAAGCTGTGGCAGGTGTTTCAGGATCTTCTCGCCTGTCTTCTTTACCCAAGTAAGAGAGAGAAAAGAATCACCAAGTACGCATGCTAATGCAATCTTAGTGATGGCAGAGAGTCCTATACCCTCGGAACCCGAATCGCCCTTCAACTTCAGCGAGCCCAATCTTGATGTCTTCGCAGGGACGCTCATCCAACCAGAGGTCCTGGATAGCGATTTCCGTGATGAGTGTGCGCGCCGAGATGATTACCGCTGTTGTGTCACTGGCCTTCTAGATACCACGAAATGGAAACAGAATGGATATTTGCCAGATGATGAGCCCCACGGCGACGTGGAGTGCGCCGACATCATACCCTGCAGTTACACGTCCTGGACGGGAAGCGAGGTATTTGTCCTAGAAGCCAGATGGTGTTGTCTCTTACTGACTCGTATGAATGCTCAAAGAGGTGGGAAGCGTTTTATAAATGCTTCCCCAGGGTATGTCGTAGTGGTTTGACGAGCCCCTCAAACGGGATGATGTTGCTCAATTTCCTGCACAAATCGTTTAGATTGTTTGATATGGCCTTTGTCAAGACAGTAAGTCCAAGTCATCACACAATTATTCTAATCATTCTACTCACACATTGCTGTCTTTCTGTAAAGGAAGAGCAGAATGTTTATGACATAAAGATTTATGGGGGAGTCTCGTCCATCCTTACGATGCTCTTGCAGCCTAATGAACGCAAGGTCAGTTTTCAATGCAGTGAAGGCGCGGAAAATATCCCCCTGCCAGATCCAACGTTTCTAGACTGCCACTATCGGGTGGCCGAGATCATTAATGCCGCGGATTTGGCAAGGCCCATCTGGAACAAAATCCGAGACTGGAGGGACCTGAAAAAGTATGGTGACACCAGTGGCTGTCTTCGTCGCGACGGATCTACCGACATAACCGATATTTTGAACACCGCTCTGTGGCCAGCTGTTGCGGAATGACTTGTGGGTTGGTGCTACCGAAGATGAATGGCATCATTACCGCGGACAGCGCTGCTGCCTCTCTTTCTTGAGCCCAAGGTTACGTCGCGTGGGTGGCCGCGCAACATGCCTTCGTTGAAATGTCCGGGCCGCGTCTGTTTCCTGTCACGGAGACGAATCGACCATCGAAAGCTCGATAGAAGTCCAGAATGTCAGACTCTCCACTAGATACGGCGAGGTGATCGACTTCATGCGCAACGCATCGGAAACGACGCCCAGTGATCGCTTCATTCCACGAACAGCTTTGCTGCTACCAAGAAGGGAAGATTCTCCAAATGGAAATCGAAGCTGGACGAAGACGCCCGCTTCTGGCTAGAGATGTCGGAAGGCGACGTGAAGATCTCAATGATATTAGTGAATCGACGAATCCCAGAGATTGCGCTGGAAAGACAGAAGTTCAACGACGCAGAGCCTGCAATGACACAGAAGGTCATAGTCTGGCCCCGAAGTAATGATGCCTTGTTTGATCGAGCCCCTCGTTATTGAGGTTGAGAATCTCTTCTTGCGAAAAGCAGAAATCCGACGCCAAGTCAACATTGAGTTCGACCAGGGTAGTCTGCGGCGTCTTGCTGAAAGCATCTGGCTTAATAGCCTGAAAAGGTAGCTCCTGCTGCTGTAAGTGATTCCCTTAACTAGTTCGTAACTAGTTAGGATACTAATGTGATTATAGGAGTCATACAAGAAGTATCTCGAACTAGGCCCATCAAAAATTGCTCTCCCTCCATTCAAGGAGGATGTAAGTCAACCTTACCCAGTTCTGAACTAGTTGGAGACTAGTTGCTAGTTGGTGAAGTGTTTTGTCGCGCCTTCCATCAGATCTCCACCATCAGACTATGGAGGTGGGCTGCATAATGTCCGTAACGATTATCCACTCCTCTCTGGCCAGACGGTCATGAGTTTCAAGCATGATCCCGAAAATTATCCCCTTCAGGTACCAAACCTTGGCATACTGTGGGTCTTGATATACCTTTATCAACCTAGAACATATGACTGACACAGCACAACGTGCTGTCCTAGACGACGATAGGTCCGACGCGGAGACCGATGAGGGACTGGCTATTTACCCAGTGTGTTGCAATCCCTGCGTTTTCTGTCTGATCGTCTCGTCTGCGGTGGATTAAATAATAAGCAACCAGCCTAAGGCCAATCCCGTCATCATGACCACTGATACGCTCGGACAAGGTCTTTCGAGGAATGATGTTGCAGTACGACTTGCCCGATACATGGACGATCCAAAGCTCCTTAACGGGACGTACGGTGATGTGTGGTCTCTCACGACATGATTAAGGGACCGCGAGCTGGATAGTAAGCACAACTACGAACTGATGCACATTGGTGGTTCTCAAATTCCGGCTACCAAGTCAATACGGTCATACTCTTTCATATCCAGAGATCCTCCGAGCTCAGTCATCTTCAAAGTCTACAACCTCAGACCTATCACCCTCAGAATTACGCGTGGACTACAGGCAGAGGTCGAGCACTCTCCGCTATCTAATCGTACGACTCCTCAACAGGCTCCCCAACAGCGCTAGATCCTCACTTAGTGGACAAAGAGGTTGTCGTTAGATTTGTTTAGGAGGGCTGCTACAGCCAATACTAAGAGCGATGGACGCTCCTTCAGCCAGAGATCCAGGATAGCGAATTCCGTAAGGCCCTTTTGCGCCGAGACGGTTACCGCTGTTGTCACTCGCTGGCTAGAGCAAAAGAAATGGATGCATAGCGGAAGGCCAGCTAACGAGCTCCATGCCTTCATAGAGGCTGCCTGCATCATTCCGTTCAGCTTTGCGCCCGACGGGGCAGCCAGGTATTGTTTCCTAGAAATTCAACTGTGTTGACTCATGAACTGACTCAAAACAGCGTACGAAGGAAGCCTCCGACTCGGGGGAAGTGTTGTTTAGGTGCTTCCCCACGCTACTTAATCGTAGAATGAGGGCCAGAACGACCGATAGCCTGTCAAACGGTATGATGTTTGGCGATTCCCTAACAAGGCGGTTGGAAGTGTTCATATGGCTTTTGTCAAGACAGTCAGTCTGGCTCATTTACTCATTGATTCTAATCATTCCACTCACAAAGCCTTTCAGATAGTCTGCTGATATCTTATCTCGCTGGATTCACACTGAATTAAACCAAACAGATACCGTCCTTAGCCACACGAGTAGATACATCAGGTGAAATTGAGGCCGCGAAGGAAGCCCCCTGACGCTACCCTAACCTTCAGCCTCGGGGACCAGCGGAATACGGGCGAAATTCAACACAGCCGAATGAGGTCTCCTACCAAGAGTATTTGCTATTGCTGCTTATGGAGGCCATTAGAACCTTTCTATCTCTGGTCTGTAGAAGACGTCGTCTGGCTATGATTCCTTCTGTGCGGACCGGCGTCGTGAGTTAGCCCACATCTTGCCTCCCGCCGCCAACGCAGGGGCGGAAGACTGGCGTTTCTATCGCTCTCAGAAACTGTTGCGCTTGCTGCCTGGTGACAAGGGGTACGCCAGCTGGGGGGCCGCTCTACAGGTGTTCTTCGAAGGAATCCTGACGGCTGTCATTCGCGTTTACGGGGACGAAAATGCTGGTCAGGATGCTGCAGATTGTCTCGGCGAAATCAAGGACACGTTCCCTCTTATTTTGGAGGAGATTTGAGCGGCGAACTGTCGATGCTTTGTGCTCGTAGCTTTAGCGATGAGTAGTGTAGTACTCCCTGGTATGGCGGTTCAATAATGGAGTTTTCCTTTGCCAGTAGTCTTGAATAGCCTCCCGTGCATTTATCATGTCATTTGTAAGCACCCATTGGTTGTACTCTGATGGCCAATTCTTCCATTTCACTAAGTAGTATTGCTCGTTATCGAATAGTCGGTCATCTCTGACCTCTTCAACTTCCCATTCATCGTCATCATATAGTTCGGGCATTGGTAGCGTTTGGTCACGATCCGAACGGTTCTAGGGGTTCCAGGTACGACACGTGGAACACATTAAGGTATGAATTCGATCGTATTGGTTAGGTAAAGCAATCCGGTATGCTTGTGAACCTACCGCGTCTAGTAGCCGAAAACGGGCCTATAAACGTAGGAGTGTTGCCAACAGTACAGGCAGCAACGTACAGACTATCTTCGTCTCGGACTTAGAACAGTTACAGTACAATGTGCAACTTACACTGGTAACCTTGGAGTAGTACCTTGGGCCAGGCCACTCTCTATTATGCAGCTGGTTTATTTGCAGTTAAAGATGGTTACATGAGAATTCCCAAGGGCACATATATTGCTAGGAATGAAATACCAGTCTTATGATCAGTGCATAATTCATTGTTTTTGACTTGAATACTTACACAGGGTGAACCCTTTTGTTAATGTAAAACTGCTCAGGGTTCGGGGCTGGTTCAGGTCCTACGCCCTGGGGGCTTTAAATCATCCACACCGCTGCAAGTTAAAGTTACGAAGACAACTTAGATCACTGCGGTGAAGTAAGCTCCCCAACGCATAGTAAAGAAAAATAATGTTGGATTGAACCGAGGATTCTAGTTCCTGGTTAATGCTTATGAGACACGGAATGTATACTGTACCTAACTTGGGGTTATGTCTTAGCCATGAGACCACAAAACTTTCTATATATCATGCAATGTAGTGTCAATATGAGCAAACCAGAAGAGTGGATGCTCAAGACCACTAGGCATTGAGTGCACTGGGGAACTGAACAGAAGTGGATCATACAGATATTTGAAGAACAGGGCTTCGTAGTCTATGTTCATTCGCCGTGTCTAGTCTATCAGGATACATGACATATGGCTCCTGCTTGCAAGCTTCGGACTGCCATGAGGTCTTTCAAGCGATGTAGCAGAGAGATCTGGCTACCACGAGCAGCTATGCTAGTAGGACGGTGGACTCTCCTACTATAAAGCTAGAGTTGACGACTTGGCAACGTGCTATCTACAAGGGTTGTCATCAGTGCATGCACAGAATCAGATGGATATGGTTAAGGAACACCATTGAGGTGTCATAGGTGATGAAACTATTTCCTCAAGAAAGTCAAAGCTGCAAGGCAAAGAGCCTCCACTCCAGCTCTCATCGTTGGCTGTATAACAGGCGCAAAAAGGGCCGAGTGGTTCCCGGGGATCTCATCTGTATGATTGTCTTCTTTCATTGCCTTGTCCCAAAGTTCCGCATCAATGCCCCCAATGAACCAAAAGCAGCATGGAATACCTCTGCAAGTTCCCAGCGTAGAAAAGTCTTCGCTAACATTGGTCCTCGGTGTATCTCCGTCAAAGTCCTCAAAATGCTGTCCGAAAGACGCAGCCAATTGCGACGCCACATGTTCCTCATTTACAGTGGGCGGAAACCGGCGTGTTGGAGTAAACACAGGCGGTTTCGGCGAGCCGCTAGCCATGCACTCGGCCTCAACAATGCGCTGAACCGCAGAAAGAATCTTCTGCCGAGTCTCCAGCTTGACGGTCCGGAAATCAAGCCCAATCTCGGCCCGATCCGCAATGATATTCTCCGTCTGCCCCGCTTGCAGACTTCCAACAGTTACAACTGCGAGGTCGCTGGGGTCAATCTCTCTGCTCACGATGCCCTGCAGTCTGACAACAATATGCGCAGCGAGAAGCGCAGGATCGACTGTCTGATGGGGCAGGGATCCATGGCCGCCGCGCCCATAGACGGTAACTTTGAGACTGTCGGCAGCGGCCATGATTGTCCCAGGCCGGGAGCCAACGCTTCCTGCGCGCATTCGCATGACGTGCTGGCCAAAGACATAATCGGGGACTGGGATCTTGGAATAAAGGCCATCGTCCACCATCGCCTGCGCGCCGCCGCCTCGTTCCTCGTTGGGCTGGAAAAGCACGATCAGCGTTCCGCTCCATGCATGTTGCATGTTTGCGAGAGTCTCAGCTGCTGCTAGTAGGCATGTCATGTGCATATCATGCCCGCATGCATGCATCACTGGCTTTTCAATGCCGTCGGCGTCGCGCATGGTGACTGTGCTCGCGTATGGGAGTCCGGTGAGTTCCTTGACAGGGAGTGCGTCCATGTCCGCTCGCAGAAGAACGGTCTTGCCAGCGCCATTTCTGAGGACACCTGCGAGGCCATAGCCACCGATATTGGTGTGGATCTCATAAGCGTTCAACTGTGACAGATGGGCTGCGACCTTTTGAGACGTAGATTCTTCTTGGAGCGAAAGTTCGGGATGGGCGTGGAAATGTTTGTAGAGATCCTCGTACGGAGTCAAGTCTATAGAAGCACTCTTCAGAATATCTGATAGATTGTGTGCCATTTTGTGGGCAATGCAATATGGAAAAGAAACAAGCTCAGTGATCAGTGAGCGAGCAAAAGCGGCGAGGGGTAAGCACTAGAGCGGAAAGGGTAAGAATCATAAGATCACAAAGGGCCTAGAGAACCAGTCCTCTAGGCTCTAGCGCTTAATCATAGCCCCGCGGGTGCCGTCGTAGTTGGTCAACTCCACCAAACTTGTGAAGTTCATGAGTGCTCCCATAAGCCCCTCCAAGTCGGAGGTAATCGCGTCCAGCTGGTTATCCCAGGCGACATTCCCATGCTCGTCCAGCCAGAGAATCTTAATCAATCCAGATTCGATGGCCTCTCGGTCTAATAGGTAAAGACCAGCCTGGGTTTTCAACTCCGCTACAGCCAAATCCCGCCAATCCTCGCGCTCCTCCTCAGCCTGTACCACCAGGTACTGGTCGTTCTGCCCAGTCTTGTACTGCAGATCACTCCCATCGCCATTCTCGTCAATAATGCCACCAAAGTCCGTGATGCCAGGAACACAGACTAACACCTGACGCCATGAATCCTCGCTGCCGTCGTCAAAATCGTAGCGGGTGGGGTCATCTAGGATCTTGTTCCACCCAGCGCACCATCCGGGCGCCACAGATCTCCGTCTGAGCTCTTCGTCTTTGCTCGCGAGATCCGGGTCGTAGCATATCCGCAGCCAGACGGTCTGTAAGCCGGTGCTGCTGACCAGGCTGACATTGCGCTCGTGCACTGTCTGGTGTGTGGCCAGCACGCGCCTGATTTCTTCGCTAATTTCATCCGGAGAGGACTCGGATTCGGCACGGCGCTGATAGGGCTGGGAAGGACAGTCAGTCTTTCTGTAATGTGATCCAGCGGGGAAAAGAAACACATACCCAGCGTTCGATTAGCGTCAGCTTCTGCCATTCCCAGACAAGTCGCTCCCACTGTTCCTCACTGTTTTCTGCGGCGTCGTGATCCCAACGCTCCTGTGTACTGAAGTCAGACTAGAACAGTACTGAATGGAGCGACATGTAATCTGGGGAACCAACCAAGACGAAGAGGTCGAATGGTAGACGGCCGTAATCGGCGTCGTTTTCTAGCCTTTCGCCTGACATATGGAATTGGAGCTCAAGCCGACGACGATAATGGCTGAGCCTCAGAGGGAGGGGAAAAGGGAAGAGGTGAAGTTGATCACCAGGCTATGCAGCCACTAAGGGTAAGACAGCTCCTCCAACTCCAAGGTTCAGCCTTGCCCGAACCCCACTGGCCAAGAAATGTAGCACCCTCTGTGCCGTCAACTGGCTCTACCGCTGGCGCTATCTTCTGTCTTACCACTTACATAGACTAAGGATGTTAGAGTGTCCCACTAACTGCATATCCCTGCTAGTTACTATCAAGGATGGATATTGAGGTAATTTATACTCACTATCTCTTTAGACTCTTCTCTCCCTCCCCAAACTCCATGAATCCATATTTCATCTTGTTTCTTTCAAGCCAGTTGACCTGGTAACTCGTCTCTGCTCATTCCAAAAAGCATGGCATCATCAAAACTGCTCCCGCTGAAACTGCCTCTTGCGTTCAACACAAAATACCTTGCCCAAGACACTACGGCCCTTCGCGTCAAACAACACAGCGAAAGCTTGTCCGGCGGCGACTTCACAATCTCCACCTATCCTGCGGACGACTCTCCGCTCGGAACGAAGCTGTTCTCCGTGAAAGGAGATTTTGGATCCTTGAGTAACAAAAGACACTTCAGCGACGCCTCAGGCCTCCCACTGTTTACACTGCAGCGCAAAATAGCCGGCGTGACATGGTTCGTCGTCCTTCCCGGCGACGAGCGCGGCTCTGAACCCATCGCGACCATCGCCACCAAGTGGAGCGCGTTCAAGGACAAATTCGACGTCTACTTTAAGAATGCGGCCGCGGATGGGGAGGAGACGGTCCTGGAGGTGCGGGGGCAGAATGTGTGGAAGGCGAAGACTCATGTCTACTACAAGGGTAACTTGGTGATGATCGCCAAGCTCGCGGACGTGGTCTCGGTTTATGTGCCTGGGAAGCGTCCTGCTTGGAATGTAGAGGTGGCAGAGGGGATGGATCTATCACTGGTAAGTGCTGCTTCTTCTTCTGCGCGATGCCAGCAATGGTTGAGAGTTGTCTGATTGTTGCCTAGGCCGCTGTTATTTCAGTCCTTTTGGCTACACTGCTCCACTACAGCAGTTTACCGTCCTCTCATTCTGGCTCCAGAACCAAGGCAGATGAAGATTACAAGGGCAGCAGCAAGAAAGATGAACCCGGATCATGAATCATGACACTTCATGTCGGCAATCAGAGGATGACATTTACGTTTTGGAAGCACATTTGCCTATTACTGTTCTTTATATGCCCTTGCCTTGTTCCGTTACAATGTTTTCCTAGTCGCTAATTTGCTCAGCATTTTGAGGCTATGTAAACGATCTTCTTTAATTCCTCCCAAGTAATGGTAATTATCCCATTAGTCAGGCGGCTAATTGTCAGAACATGCTCACCTGTTGGTTACCCACAGTGCCCACTACGGGGCCAGCGGGCTGCCCAGCTTAAGGAGATGGGCCGCTAGGCGCTAAGCTAGGGTTGAACGAATGTTAGTGGGAGTGGTCCCAACTTACCATAACTACATCCTTTCACGGATGAGGCAGCTAGCCAGTTGATAGTGATGTGCAATTGCCTAACAAGTAATAGAAGATATTATAGCACATATCCGTTGGCGCGAGACACCTTGAGATAGAACGAATTGCTTCAATGCGCCAGTGTCTGATACAGCACAAGGACTATCAGCCTTCCGGCTCAGACAGATCCATCTAACTATTCCATTGCTTCCATACAATCTCCCGGGCACCTTCTATCGTGTAGTCATTTGTTTTCGTTCTTTTAATTGCTTGATCCGCCTGATTCTCATTATATTACCGTGTACTTGTTAACTAGGAAATAGCTAGGTAAATAGAAACTCAAAATGAAGGTCATATTCGTAGTCAATCTAGTTGTCTACGATAACTGAGAAAAAACAACCACAAAGAATACACATAGAGTCATAGACTGCACAGGACGTATAACTGTATATACATCCACAGCTAGAGTGATACCCTCTTGCCTCATCCTCAAAGGAGATTGTGCACAATATCCATCAGCTTCTGCTTATCGCCCGCACTCAAGTTGACATAGTCAAGGCAAGCAGAGCCACACGGGACGGGAGTTCCCTGTTCGGTAAACAGCGTGGCCAGGTTCATGCACTCTGGAGCCACATTCTCAACACGAAGAGCTGCAAACCTATCAGTCTTTCTCACTCTACAATGCCGTCTGCGAAGAGATGCTTACAGTTGACAGATGTCTCCCTGACAGTCACAGTGCGGCCGACATTGGCATTCTTGCACATTTGAATGTTGTAGTCAGGCACACCAGGCCAGGACTGGCGCTTCTCGAGGCCCTCGATGGTGGCCTCGGCACCGCGCTTCCTGCCACCGACGCCGCCGCTCTTAAGGCCGATGTAGATGAGGTTACCGGCGAGGGGAGCAGCAAGGCCGGTGATGACCAAACCGGCTACCGGGGGCGCAGGGCAGGAGGGGATCAAGGAGATGGCGGCAACGGCGAGGCCGGCAGCAAGAGTTTTGGCGTGCATGATAGCAGAGAAAGAGGATTTGTAATTGTATGGAAGGATAAAGGTTGAGTGATGCTCTGAGTTGTTGCTCTCAATTGTTGAAGCAGGGTGCTGAGCGCCTTTTTATATCTCGCTGGAACCTGATCTGCATGCCGGACGGGGGTCACCTCGTTGTATGCGTTATTTTTTGAGCCTGGATTTGGAAGGAAGAGTCCTTGGTGACCCTGGTCAGATTGTTGCATTGCACAACTGAAACAAAAGCCAAGGATGTAGAGGTGGTAGAAATCAGGGCTGAAATGAGCTACTAAGGACCACGGGCGTACTATAGTGCTGACTGCTGAGTATAGTCGAAAGCATAACTCACGCGAGACAAATCATGAATCGTCAAGGAAATAAGTGGATATGACCGAGATTACTCAGTATAATTTCGTAAATGGACAGATAGGATGTTGATTATTGGCCGCACCTCCTCAGGACCGAGGTCTTCGAGTATCCCTCAAGTTTCCAATATGCTCTATCCTCTTGTTCTTTCTTCCAACTACGACCTAGGATCCCCTGTTCCGTTTATAGAAACCAGGCTCCACGCCAGTCGTCGATATCCCGTAACTTATGCAGTTACTTTCCTCTTTACATCTGTCTCATTCGATAAAAGTGTCGAACTACGCCAACCAAGCGATCTGGTAATTTGGAAATGGATTTACGACGCTTCCTTTCCCAACTACTGTCCATTGCCATGACCTTTAGCACGGTGTTCATGGTATGGAAGGGCATAATCATGATTACTGGATCGGCATATCCCCTCATGGTGGTTACATCGGGCTCAATGGAGCCAGCCTTCTACCGGGGTGATCTGATTTTCCTCTGGAATCGCCAGGACAAAATCCGCGCAGGGGATATCCCCGTGGTGTGGTTTGAAGGCCGCGAACTGCCGATGGTGCACCGGGCTATCCAGGCGTCTTACGAGGTCCTGGACGGGGAGAATAATCTAAAGTACCCACTTCTCATGTAACAGAGACGGGGTTGCAAAGCAGCACTGACATTATACAGGCAACACATCTTGACCAAAGGCGATAACAATGCCCTTGATGACTCTAGCCTTTACCCGACGGGACAGAGGTTCGTGTATCGGGAGAATGTCGTGGGACTGGTTCGAGGCTATGTGCCCTATGTTGGATGGCTGAGCCTTCTCGTCAAGGACATCCCGGTGATTCCAGTTGGATTGCTCATTGCAGGGGTTGTCTTTTAGTCAATTGTGCTATGTGTATCACGGATACATCCAATGGATATACAAGTCGCTATGCTATGGCTGTTGGTTATGGGGCATCACGGGAATTAGCCGAGCTTATAGTACAAGATTATTAGCTAGGAATTTGTCTCCGCGTATGGTTCCTCTCTCGTGCCTAGAAACGTGCTGAAATCAGATCATGTCTGGCCCACTATGAGTAGATAGCTTACGAGGATTACGTGAAGAAAAAGAGAAACAGAAAAGTGGTGCCAAATTGTGAGACAATCTCCATTATTCACCATGGAAGGTGACGCTATCATAAGAGTAGAGTGTGCTATCCCCCATTGAAAGCATGGTACAGTGGTGATATATGCCTTGGCCTCTAACTCCAATCCGAAGATCCACCAGAGATCAAAATCCCCTTGACTATGCAGTATACATTGTAAGATAGAATGGTAACTAGCTACTCAGTCTCCCATGATAGTATGAATGTGCGCATTGCTTCTGGCGCGGGATATTCATTTGGATATAGATGGAGATGAGGCCATATGGCTTCAAACTAAATTATCAGCCTGTGATAGGCTAATCTCGAGAAAGCTGCCATGTTTTTAATGAGCCCTGTACTCCTGTCAACCCGTGTGACGCAAACACGATCAGGGCTATCTTCCGGGGAAGCGCCTGACAAGACATATAAAAATGTTAGCCCAGGATGTAGTTCGATTTAGACCCTTGGCGGGCGCAAGCCTCATTATCCACCTACGTAATCCAGAATCTAAGACAAAATATTATTAGTTAGCCTGGTCCACGTTTCAGATCCCTGCCGCCCACCCGCCAGCCTCATTATCCACCGGTCCACACCTGCCGTGCCAACCAACTCTCTGACAGCAGATTGGCAGGCCAAGCAGTGTTGATGCTAGGTGTACCTCTCTAGCTGGTTGAAAGGTTGCTACCACATAAGGCGGCAAGGCCTGCGCCCTGTGGATCGAACAGTGCCTATGCCAGGGCAGTGGATATTTAACCAACTGCTTTAATTCTTAATCAGATGCAGTATTACCCGTGCGGTCTAGTACTAGTAGATATCTACTATCCAGAGAGGGAAATAAGTGAAAAAAGCAACGGGTACCAGGGACCAGACCCCTCTTATACTATGTATTAAGAACTAGAACACTGTAAACCAATAGTCATTAAAAGAGAACTTATCGTCCACACGGGTATTGCGGCAGAACCTGCTTCCATAAGGCTCTATCTAGTACAGAGTGGAAACTGCAAATCATGAGAGCTGAGAGCTATACAGGTACCTAAGGTAAGGGAGTAAGGGTATTGGACACCACGTGATTCCAATTTTCAATCCAATCAAAAGATGAGAAAAGACGTTGATCCAATCATATTGAGCGCCAAGATCGAAGGATACCTAGTACGCTTCGCCCCGCGATAATATCCACTATCTTGAGAGAAACAGGCATGATGCAGCAAGTTGAGTGGCTCCAGCCTCCATCGTGCCTTAAACTGCTCTTGTATCTGTAATCTTCGGTATCTCTTCGGAGAATATCCGTGGTCTGAATTACGATAGGTGCTATCAAACCACTCGCGATGTCTCAACAGTTTGCAGATCCCTGCTGGCCATTGACTCCAGAGGTTTTTCTCGGCGTGAGGGGCAATGAGCCATTAAGAATTAATCCCGAGCGTTGGTTAGGTAGTGGGGTCAGGGTAGGGAAGGAGGAGCGGCATAGGCCTGGGGCCGAAGACATGGGCCATGCCAGTAGTAAGTTGTGGTTCAGGTAAAGGCCAAGTTGTAGGGCATGTCGAGCCCGGTCAAGATAGCTGCTCTAATAGATAGGAAAGACGTATATAGGAGCCGCTGTTTCATTTGCCCGGATTGCAAGAGGTGATGCTGAACATTGCTTGAGGGATTGAGCAAGCAAAAGAAAAGAGCAAACGAGGAGAGTCGAGATGCCACCGGTCGAGTCGATCGTACCCCCTGCACTGTTTGCTCTTTCAAGCGCTGCCTTTTTCAAGGCAGTCCATCTACCATACAAGGGTCGGCTCTATGTTGCACCACTGCTGTTTGGTAGTGCCGTGTTGTCACTACAGACCAGTCACTACTTGACATGGCTTACTGGTATGAATGTACTGTGGGCTCTCTTCAATTGCATCTGGATACACCATGCCGCGTCTGTATTGTACATTGACCAGCTAAGCATCCCCAGGACTGCGTCTCCCTGGATCGCTGCCTATAAGATCTGGAACGACCCGCAGCGTCGCCTCAACCGGATAGCCCTCCAGCGCAGGGAAGAGACCTGCTCTAACAGCAGGAGGATATGGTTCGCTTTTCGGCGCCTGTCCTGGACTGTGAGCTGCTGGCTGCTCCAGTTGTCCATTGTCGGACCGTTGCTGTCCATTTATTTCACTTTCAATGCTGAGGATTTCGCGCCCTCACGACAAACCCTTATCCGGCGTCTGCTCTCTCTACACCCAGAGCCGCCGTTCACAGTCCACGAGATGCAGATCCGGTTCTATGTATCAGTATACTGGATCTGGATTGCATATCTGATGCTTGAGCTGTGCAACACAGTACTCGCATTCTTCTTTGTTGTCGTCCTGCGCCTGGATAACCCGGAGGACTGGACTCCATTATTCGGCAGTCCGTTGCAAGCATATAGCATTCGCCGCTTCTGGACGAAATTCTGGCACCGACTGACCGTTGCGCCATGCGTTTCTTCCGGCAGGTTGATTACACGACGTGTAGCAGGTTTTCGGCCAGGCTCGCAGCATGAGAAGGTCTTCATCGCCTTCTGGGCGTTCTTGCTGTCCGGTATCTGCCATGTAGTCGCGGATTGGGCAGCCGGGGAGCCATGCTACCCAGTTGACGATATGTTCTTCTTCATTGCCAATTTCCTCGCAGGGGCTATCGAGTCGGCGATCGGGAAAAGGCTAGAACACGCTATGAAGAAAAGTAAGAACAGCAAGGTTCGTTGGCTGTTCAGGTCGGGTATTGTGAGGCAAATCATAGGTTATGCCTGGGTTCTGGGTTTCATGTTCTGGATTACACCAAAATGGCAGTACCGGAAGCTTCATACTTCCTTGTTGGAACTTCAGATCCAGAGCTGGTGACGACAAGTAACTGATAACAGATAAATGCTGGTGTTGCAGAATTCGCTTCAGCCTGAGTTGTGGAGAAGGATGAATGTTTGTATGAAGTAAATTGGATGAAGAATAAAGATAAATAAAAGAAAAGGAATGAAGGGAAATAAGGCCCCGAAGCTTTGAGAATAATATATTTTTTGCCCAGAAGAGCTTGCATTTATTTCGATATTATTACATGAAATTTAGTATTTAGCCAAAGGTCGGGCACTGCCACTAGATATACTAAAGCCCAGCGGCCCAGCCACTGGCGCCCTTATAACCTGCTGCATCCCCCGCTACTGATTCTCCACAGCTCTCTTTCAAGCACAAACGGTAAGGCCACCATTTACCCAAAATCTTATTTTTATATACCTATTTCCATGCATCTAATAAATACAAAGGATCAAAATAAACCACAGCCAATCATCATGCTAGACTGGTTCAAAAGACTGTTTGGTCTCACTGAAGAAGCCAAACAACGGAGAGCCCAAAGGCGCCGGAGTCGGGCCCGAAGCAGGAGAACCCTAGCTCGAGAAAGAGAACTGCGACGACAAAACCAAAGACAAGAGCTCAAGGGCGGGAAACAAAGAACGCCTTTCTTCTGGGGATCGCCGGGGACGTCTATTCCCTATCATCGGACGGCTGTTTTCAAAGACGCCTGATTTCAGGATAGTCGTGCTGTTTGATTCCCATGGTCATTAGTCCTGAGCACGCAGTTTTATGCTTCATGATAATTCTCCAGTCAGGATGGCTCCGCGATCATCGGAGAAGCAGTATGCATTGAGTTTCTGTTTGCGAAATTGCAGGTCTCTTCGCTATCATCTGGATTGACAGATTCGCACCCCCAGTTTTGTTCTAACCCATAATCACTATGCTTCAGGCGGAACGAATGCGTCTTTCTTATTCAAGCCCGCAATAATTACAATTTATAAGAAGCACTAGAGTAATTCAAATACACTCAGCACCAGACTAAGTTCAATCCCAAGGTATTGCTAGGACCGTAGGATCCCACCCCATGTTTTCCGTCACCACGATCCCCCAAAGCAGAGGTCTCTCCTCACACTTCCTCGCCACATAATTATCAAAACCAGCAGACTTGACAGCTTCGTAGCATCCAGCTCCACTTCCTCGTAAACGCTCTGGGAACCTCCCAGTCCGCGGGTCGATGGAGCTCTCTAGATGAGTAGCGTGGCACGGCTATAACATCTCCTGAGAGAGATGAGGCCGGGATATAGTCAGACCTTCCTCGCATTCCTCATTAACCCATTCGCCCACACCGCCAGTAGCACACTTCATCCCACTGTACGGACTCCTGCTCCGATCCTGCAGAGGACTCGAGTCGACCAGTGGACAAGATGAGTATGAAAGTAAAATACAGAGTGGACGTTAAGGTCTATTCAATGGAAAGCACATGAACTAATTATTGGTCAGGCTTACTTAGTCATTGACTATTTTTAATCATTCCCTCATGGGTAATCCAGTATATTTACTATTCGCTGTCTGAAATCTTCACTTACTCACATCTGAGATTGGCTCATAATAGATAATAGATATGTGAAACAGTGACTGGAAACGTGTAAGAGAATAGTGAAACAAGAGAATGAAAAGCCAAGCTGAACAACTGCTACCCCTTAATCATGATCCCTTGCACATCGCTCAGAGACTCGGTCGCATCTCGCCCTGCTTGGGCCAGTAGTTTTGGGGGACCAACATGAGTCTCGTCCCATTTTTGTGCAGCACAGGACATCGCCTGGATGATTTTCTTGAACTTCATGCACAACTGCCCATGATTCGGTTTGTTTACCGTTGTTTTTGGCCAAGATGAGACGAGATGACCTGGAAAACATGCGGTATCCCCTGGGTGCCATATGCCTACCCAACGCATGAGCAGCACCGCCCTTGGCGACAACCTCGACATTTTTGACCCAAAACGTCTCCACCTCGTGATATCTCCTGTTACTTAGATATCTGGCCCAGGTGAGGAGAAGCCTTGCGTTGGCCATTCGGAAGTGATAGGGTGGCTCGGGGTCATTATAGGAAACGATGTCAACAACATCCGGTTGCTAAGAACGGATTGGTTTACAAGGATTAGCTAGAGTTCATGCTCTCGCTGCTACAGTAAGTATGTCACTTACCTGACCGATAATGAACAGCATATCATCTTTCTCGCGCTTGAACGGCGCCCTTTGGAAGGCAGGAGCGGTGATTGGGCTCCATGGTTTTGGATGTGGGTAATTGGAGGCTTTCGGTCTGGTTTTTGTGGCTTATGACTGTGACTGTTCAAACAGAATGGTTGAAGTTCATTGAACGACTATTGCTTGAGGATTCAGGGGCGTTTTGAATATCTACATTTGTAGAACTAAACCATATGTTCTCTCCTTTGACCTCGGTAAGAAATACCTCAATCTAAAAACCCAGCTCGCCCTGTTTGTAATTACCTGCGTGGGTCGAGATCACATGGGCCTTGATAAGGGGCCACTCTAGCTGAAATCATTATCCTCCTCCCCCCGTAGTAGTAGTTCATCGAATCACGCGCGCAGTGGTGCCCAGCATCGTCTCTCGGTTAGTAAAATCCCGGGGAGGCCTCGGCAAGGTCCCTACTGGGCTTGGAGTACCCATGAAGAAGGAGGCTGTTTGTCCAGCTGCAAGTAGCAGATTCATCAACTGAGAAGTAATGTCTTGGAAGGGGTTGCCACTGGAGCCATAATAGCTTCCAGACAAAGTGTACTTCCAACCATATTCTGACCCCGAGCTGGAAAAGAAGAACTCCACTTGACTGCAGCAAGGAAATTCTTAGCGATCGGTCAACCCCGACATCCTCAATTCACTTCTTACCTTGGGGCGGCATGACCTAACTAGTAGTACTGTTATCAGCACTCTTTAACTCAGCAAAGTACAACGAGTGTGACATCTAGGAGCGTTTTTCCTGCTTCACCTCGTGCTTCCTGTTTCCATCTCAGGTGTAACTGATGTTGCAGTGGTCATCTGATAGTTTCATGACCTTTGTAAATTGATTGGCACTCAGAAGATACCCTGGAGTTTAGCATAATTATAGTCTCCTACCGTCTACCATGACACTACCAGTTACTCTTCATTATTTGAGCTCATGATGATCCCAGCGTCCTTGCAAACAATGCATAACTACTGAGGTATTTTGACTCAATTTGCATCCTTATATTTGAATTGTATCCTAGGCCGGCCACTTAAAACCACCTCCGCCTACAATAGTTCTAGTTTACTAATGGAATACTCTCTCCACTTCGAGCTTATAATCGCCCGCCGATCCCTTCCATCAAAATCCCTTCGTACAAGACTTGAAACTCTTCTTGTCCTGCATGTGCGTCAAATGGTTAGTCAGCACTATGTTTTCAGTTCAAAGAGAGTCCGATTGAACTATGTCCAGATGAATATGAAAGAAAAAGGTTCAACTCACCACATGGGTAATAGCGCCGCAGTATACTGCCTTAAAACCTTTTTTCCACAGGAAAATGACGCGATCTTTTCCGGGATCCATTGGATCTTTATACCAGCCCTCTCTAACGATGGGGAACTCATATTTCTTGCTTGCCCCATCCACACACTCAGGGAAAGGGATCTTTTCGTCGTTCTTGAACACGTGAGGATAGTTGCCGTTGCCTAGAATTTTCAACTGTTAATCACCAAATCGGTGACAGAAACGAACGGATAACAGAATCAAGGAATTAAACAATTTTCAAGAATTGCTCACCAATTGTATGCCCTGATTGCAGAAGCTCAATGCCTTTGAGAATTCCTTCGTCGAGCCTCGCTTGCTTGTACTTCTCACCTGCACAGAGTCAACATTATTCTCCGTCTGAGTAATTCTGGAGAATTGGTACCAACCACTGCACACCACTCCGCCCTTGGGTGTCCCATAATCATAATCCCTGTTGATACTGATGGGTTGCTGGCCCCAATCACCCGATATCTCCGTCAATCTCTCCATATCGATGGACGGCTCATCATAGTCCTCGAAGTCGTTTGAGAGGATTGAGGAGGATTCAAGCATCCCCACTCCACCCTCTTCAATATCAATGTGGATATTGATAGCGGTGCCCAGGGCAACCTGGAGAAATAAGAATTGAAGAAAGAATCTCATCTTGCCCCAAATAAGACCAATGTAAAGAATTGGGATTGGAAATGCAAACCTGGTGTACAGTTCCCAAAGCTTGCCGGGTGGACAGAGGGGTATATTTATATGTGGCCGGGACCATTCTCCTTATTGGACTACGCGAGAGCTAGAAGTCGTACCATTTTCGGAAGAGAGGGTTCAACGGGTATCATTTTTAGCCTTGACATGATATCAAGTGGGGAATGGTCGCTTTGATTATCCTTTGGGATTAACTTTGTGACATGATGTGACTGGAGCTGAAGCCTAGATGAGCTGAGTATGCGCCCATAGTCTGATCCTAGATGCTGAAGGAGTCGCCATTGTGGCCGTCGGCTCTACTTTCTTTGTAGATTTTTTTTGTGACCCAATTGATTGGTAATGAGTGCCGAGTGCCTCCCTAGGCTCTACTTGGTCTATGAGGGCTGGCTGCTTCAAGGCGCAAAACTAGTAGAACCTAACTTTAGGTATGAGTAGCCCAATTCGGGCGTGCTCTCCACTGGGTCTGGGCTGGGCTAGGCCAACCTGTGAAGAAGGTAACTGCTGTGATGATTCACATGTGGCGATGTTTGATGCCTTCTCGCGCGCTCGCACTCTCCCCTTCTTTCCTTCCTCATGCTTAGTTATCTCGTCAAATGCTACTACATTGGTTGATCTTCTTCCTTTGCTATCTGAGCGTGATTAACTGCTTCATGGGTGGCGAATGGCAGGTTTGTCAACTGCGAACCATTGCCTTGGAGGCAACTGCCCACAGGAGCTAAAGTAGCTTCCCCGCAATCGCGTCCTGCACAGTGAAAATTGCCCACGAGGCTGGAGACGAAAGACTCCACTTGACGGCGGCAAGGACTTTCTTAGCGATCCTCCAATCCACTTCTGCTTACTTTGGGATTAGTGCAACTTCATATCTCAACAACCATACATATTTAAGATAAGAGATCAAAATCGTATAGTCTAAATAGCCTTCCTGGACCACAGACACCATACAGGACAATTACTTTGAGTATTGGCGGAGCTATACGCATTCGTATCTGAAATATCTAAATTACGCTGATTATTTATGGCAATGTGGCGAGATAATGCTCAAAGTGGCTTAAAGTTGATTTGTGTCATTCCTTGCAGGTACAAAGGTGTGTATACCAGAACTTAAGTCAAAGCAAGCGATGGTTGTCGAAATAGAAGTCTAAAATATGGGCATTTAGTATGCTGTTTTGGGGTGGGCCACTCACCCATGGATAATTACATTATGGCGTGGGTGCGGGTGCGGCCCGTGACCGCGGAGTGGTTAATCAAATCTCCTGCTAGGTATGTTGACCAAGCTCGGCCGACCCAGGGCACATGACCCGGTACGAACTAGTGCTCCAACAATGAGAGATTGATGGGCGGTAATTGATCCTATGGTTACCACATATCACATATCGGACTTGAGCCGTTGAATCTTGTGATCCACTTCAATGTATCAGAGGTGCCGGTGGCGTGCTGAATAGCTGCCGAAACCTTACAGCAAACAACTGACCTTCTGTAGAGCCCTTGTCAAGTTTAGCTTGCTCGACTTGGCTGGAGCCCCCCCAAAACCAAAAGCCATTCTGTTCGCCTTGACGTGCCAAAAGGGGGGAGACACACCAAATTGAACAAGCCCCCTTTATCGGAGGCTGCGACCGGACTTTAGCGCTTCTACGCTCAAATGCGGAAACTTGAAGCGAAAGGGAACATCGAAGCGAGTGGGCAATCGCAGCGAGAAACAAAAGTCAAAGTGAAACACGATCGGATTAGAAAGAAAAGGAAGTACGTACTCAGATTTTGCCTCAATCGCGCTGGCTCGACTCAGGCTGTGTTATGGTGGCTTACGGGCAGGTGCTCCGCAATCCGAACGAAAATTCCCATCCAGCATCATTCAGCCACGAACTCCTAGCGACCTGTCCAGATCCGAATCATTGCCTGTTCTGTCTTTCGTGCCTTTGCTAGCAGAGGCGCTCTTCGGTCACCTAAGAAAGTCAAGCTCGAATATGAAATTCTAAAGCGCTGTTTTTGGGCCTCCGGAGCCGAGCTCCTCTTGTCCATTCCTTATAAAGAGTTTGGGTCCATTTTGCCAACCTCAACTACACAAAATTCCAGACTCATCTTCCATATTCTCTTCAAGGCCTCTGAAGAGAACCCTTCGTACAAGCCGGACCGTCTCCCTACGACACTTCAACTCTCAGCTCGTTAAGATGAGCTCACACGAGCAGGCTGCGACGCAGGAGAAGCCTGTTGAAGAAGAGAAGCCTGCTGAAGAAGAGAAGCCTGCTGAAGAAGAGAAGCTTGCTGAAGAAGAGAAGCCTGCTGAAGGAGAGAAGCCTGCAGAGACAGGGAAACCGCCTTCCCCTGGAGAGATTCTGTCCGGATTAAAGGATCCTAAGAAGCCTAGAGTGAGAACGACTGCCCCAGTCTCACAATTCTACTCACTCACCATGGATAGGTCATAACTCCAGAGACTACGCCTACCTTGCCAGCCAAACCAGAGAATCCCTTCGGCAGCCCGGCGTTGCAGACTCTAACTGCGGAAGAGTTTGCTAAAATCAAGAGCTTGTAAGTAACCGCAATCCAGCGTTTGGACACGGCTTACCAAGATACAGCCGGCTCGATCAAGTAACCTTTGCAGAATGGTCTATGGTCATGGACACTAACCATCTTCTCTATGGCTACTGTCCCATTTTGACTAATAATAACGAGCTCGCTCTGGCGTCACAGCCTGGTAAATACTATTATATCTGGAGAGGTTCTGGAATTCTTTCACTGATCGATCTTGCAGCATTCCAACCGCCAGGAAGTGCTGGTCAAACGTAGGCAGTCTTTCCTCAGTCAAACGTGCACTGTTGCTGATGCGAACTCTGACACCATTCCAGGAAATGGCCATTCCCTACAAATGCCGACAAAGTTCAGCTGACCGTTACAGAAGTATCCTCCGTCGTTGAGGCTTCCGTAGTAAAGCAGGGTTTCTCTGCGTTGGAGGTGGAGTCAAAGCTGTAGGCTCCGCAACGGCTTCACAACATTATCCAAAGCCCGAACTAACTATTCGTTTAGTGGCGCAACCCTTGATTTATTCTCTGTTGGCGCCAAGGTTGACATGACGAGCGAAAGCACGTCTTCCAAGGCCACCGCCACCAAGAGGGAGTCTCATTGCGTGATCGGCGAGTTTTGGGTGATGAACCCTGCCTTTTGATGCGTACTGGACAACAGCTGAAATTGCCTAGGTCCCTTATGCCGAGGTCAACCTGGACGTGAGCAAGCTGGATCTCACAGCTGGCTGCAAAGAGTGGGTAGAGAGAATCATCTCATCCAGAAACATCCAAGACCTTAACGAGTTTTATACACGATACGGTAGGAGTTGTTGATCTCCAATTGGAACATACCTTATCTAACATCTGCGAAGGGCGGATATATCCTCAGCAAGTCCTTCTCGGCGGCCGTTTGTCCACTCAGGCGACCATAGAGTCTACGCAGACTGCTGAGAAACAAAAGCAGCTTGACACCTTTGCAGCGTCGCTGCAAACTACAATTAACGTTCCCTTGGTTGTTCAAGGCTCGCTGTCGGTCACTGGAGAGCTCCAGAATCGAAGCGAGCTGGCCGGTTCTCAGTCAGGAGTGAAAAAAGTCACTTCATGGAATAGCTATGGAGGCGACGATTTGCTTATTACTGAGTATGTCTGAGAAGAATCAAACTCTACGATCTTCACTGACAGGAGCATTAGTGCGAATCAATGGCGTCATTCGCTGCGGGCTGTGCAAAATTGGCGTCCTATAAAGGTACGCTTTGCGTGCTCATATAAAGGGCCTGCTGACTCTACAGTAGTATGGAAACATCGGCAAGATTGAGTTAATCATTGGCCGCATCGACAAGTATAAGGCATTTCCGACCATTATCGAGGAATTGCTTCGGGTCGTGAACGCACCAGTCATTCGCAACGTCCCCATGTTAGCGTACTTTCCGCAGGAATTGCCCACAGATACGACACTCCAGCGTCCACTAGACCCGATATCTCTATACCAGGGTCTGGATTCCTGCGCCGGAGAGCTGAAGCCTTCCCCGTTTCAAGAAGCCAAGGATCACATCGAGCCAAACTATTCGTTTCCGGCTGAGTACGACTGGAGAATCGCGTCGGACAGCACCTCGCTCGCTGCCCTCTTCAGCGATCTTCACGAGCTTCATAGTGAAAGATTCAACTTGGCCTTCGCGCCCCGTTACCTGTCGCACGTTCACGTTTCCGCCGAAGAGGGACAGTACGGATTATGCGTTGTTCTTCGTTGGGCTTCGAAAGGACTGCGGTTCTATTTGCCAGAACCCGAGAAGGTCAAGCTCACAGATGACGCCCTAAAGCTTCTTAAGGAAAAGAGAAGCGAGTTTGCACAGACATACGGAGATCACTACGTCGTAAACATCGAGCGAAGGACATGTGCCACAGTTGTATGGCGGATTTCCTTTGGTCAATATAAGGAAGATCTGCAAAATTTCCGAACAACGCTATTGGAAAAGTTCGCGACCAGCCCCAGTCCTCAGGAGGGTGCCGATATAATAAAGACATGCCTCAAAGAAGCTCCCAACCCAGAAAGACGGGATGCGCGAGCCTACCTTTATTTCAGCTCTCCGGATAGCAACTCACTCGTCTTGGACACCGACACCAAAAGCATGATACAAGCAAGTGACAAGCTAGCCATACAATTGACGAAAAAGGCCGAGATTATCACCCGGTTCCAGATTTTCCCGTACAAGTTTGCCATTCCCGCCACTCAGAGCCCTGTCTCCCCAAGTCAAGGGGGCTTCTTATCCTGGGCAAATGCACTTCAAAATGTGTATTACGCCATGAATAATTCACGGAAGTTACCAAAGGCCGTGCCGGAGCGTGAGGAGTGGGATAAACAGCTACAACTTTTTGAACAGCAGCTTCTCGGAAATCAGAAAACTATCCTGTCAGGACAGAAAGCGACAGCTGTCACTATAACACAGGAAGTGAAGAAACTGCAGAACGCTATTGAGACCAAGGTTCAAGATGTCCACAATGTTATGGAGCCCCTCCAAAAAGCTTTGGATGATTGGGTAGCGCGGTCAAGAACGAAAGAGACCGAGTCCATACTGGGAATGGAGTAAGTACATATAACCTATCTAGAAGTGGGCGAGACTGACTGTTCCAAAGCAAGGTAAAAATTTTCCATCGAATCGGCATCCAAGTCCTGGGTAGCGAGATGACCTGGCCTTGGATTCACCGTGCATGCACGGAGGGATCGCGCCAATTCGGTATGCCAGCCCCTCCCGATGGCCTTGATGCAGCAACACGTACCCTACTCATCAATTTGATCAAACAACCTCAAACCTCGCTACTCGGGGAATACACCAACCAGTGGTTCGATGGCATGACGGAAACTGAATTCTGTTGGCAAGTTGAACCCCCAGTCGCGGGTTACCGACTGGTTGCCTATGAGATCATCAACGACTGGAGAAGCACCAGCAATGGCATCTTCTGGTTGGATCCCCCCCTTAATAATGGCGGCCCGGGGGCGCCGCCCGAGCCTTTCCTAGAGCCAGAGCCAACTGTTGGGTCGACTAACAATCTGTTTGTCTATTTCCAAAGGGAGAAAATGAAGAGCTACAAAGTTAGGGCGAATACGTGGTGGGTTCCAACAAGAATACAAGAGACGGATCTTTTGTGAAGACGTACAGGGGATCTTTGAATTTGGAATAATGAGTATTAGTTTCAGCTGAAGTTTTCAAGTGGCATGAAGCATCATCAATGTTGCAGCGGTGGGTGGACCAGGTTCGAGGTTGTTCCTACCAAGTCTTTCTATTAGCCAAGCAATAATCACTTACCTTTTACGATCATGTGTGCTCCTCGTCAGTGTTTTCCTATCAAGCGGGCGTGATTTTTTACGAATGGTCGATGAGTTTGTCTATTTGGATCTCAATGACACTATGGTGATGGGAACAAAAATGGCCGGATCGGGATGATAAGAGAAGGCGTTTTTTTATTGGGGACCATAACAAGCACAATCTCCCCAGATAGATCTCTTTTCCTTTTTCCTTCAGTCTTGATAGATTCGTTGAATGCACGGGTACTTTTCGAACTGTCCTCTTAGGTTGTTACATACGTGGCTTATGTTTCCGATTAACTATTCTAGCTATTCATCGGCCAACCAATCTTCAATTGACCAGGACTGTCGCATAAGCCCATCGACTTCGCACCTGAATTACCTATTCTAAATACTACATATATGTATAATATATATATGCATAACTAATATACTTATACATAGCTAGGCAAGGGAATTGCTTGTTTTATCCTTAAGGGGTAACCGAGGAAGAGGGAGAGAGTTCTATCTGGTAGGACGGTGCAAAAGAGGTTCAGCTAATGGGACATCAGAGAGGGGCATGCAGGTGGTCTAACATATGGTAGGCGGCGATGGAATCACTCCCACCTTACCACTGATGCCCTGGTGGTAGATGTCACTCTGCCAGAGGAATGCAGGTAGGGAGTAATAATATCAGAAAAAAGAAGAGGCTGTAATATAGACATAAAGAAGGAAAGAGAGAGTATGGGAGATAGAGAAAGGTATGTAATAAGATAACTAGTTTAAATCACCCTCTAGATGGAGAGCAACGCAGGCATTGGCCAGTATGCGTGGGTACTGAGTACATGAAAGATTCTCAATCAATGACCCTACTTTAATGTAACCGTCGCATGTTGTGGATTTTCTACATAACAGCGTCGTGGCAAACCAGGGACACTTCGAACCTCTTCGCCCAGTCATTTTGAATGAATTAAGCAATTCCTGGAAGCTTTCACATAAAGGAATTCAAGCTAACCATCAGTGTAGGTCTTCTTTACACTGACGATGACTCCCACGTGTTGAAGAAGTTTATCAATTCCACTGGCGAGCAACTGATATATCACCGTCACGGTTACGGATGCTCCTAATATTAGGAGAGACGAAGCCTAGACGCAGTTAGCATGGTTCCTGAAACGTTTGCGGGCGCCACTTGCCGTCGAGGACATAAGGATGACGTTTCTTGCCATTGGGAAGCGTATCAACGCTATGACGATTGTAAAAAGTGTGGCAATAAATCTGGTAAGGTACACAGACACGACCCAATGTGAAACTTTGTGGTACCCTTTTAGGATGGGTTAGGCCAACTCAGGGAGCATTTCATCTGCCTGTCCCAACTGGGCACGAAGAATTTGTTCCAGGTCAAAGGAGAACGAGGCGCTCGGTTTAGGGTAATCTTTGGTGAGTCGACTGCCCTGTTCGCGATCCTAATCACCTTTCTTGTCTCCAGTGATACAGTATCACCAAACACGTTGGAAGCATGTACCCAGGTGTCTGTGTATAATCTGTCGAACAAGCCTTCATATAACGATTCGGTAAGCAGAGGGTAGTGAGTCTGGAAGGCCTGAAGCGCCTAGCAGCCACAGTGAAAGATCGAAACAATGGCACTTGCCCAGTCGACTTGATTGAGCGAGTTCTCCTGAAGGACGATAGTTACGTATTTTGCAATTGGTCGCGACCAATGCAACAGGGACACCATTCGTTAGCCAATCTTGTAAATATACTGGCTGAGTTCCTTCAGGACGAAATTGCTTCTCCTGAACCCTGGTGTTTGGGACCAAATTCAGCATACAGAGTCACGTTCCTTGTCAAAAAGTCTGAATTTCAATTAGAGTATTTAAGTGGGGCTAGTGGCGGGAGCTAATGCAAGCCAGAAGGATCAAATAATCTAAAGCCCTACTTTATCCCTCCATACTACTGTATTCACAGAGGCGCGCTTTTCACCTCACCGATAATTGGTTCAGATTTATCTCCCCTTTTACAGGATGTCATATCTAGATTAACCCATTGAACAAAGCCCATATGCCCTAATACCTTACAGACACCTCTTTGAAATAAAATAAATCTCAGAAAATGAAACTGCAATCACTCATCCTCGTCGTGATCGTCGAATGGCCAATGACGCTGTATTTGTGCAGCGACTTCCTCGGTCTGCCAGCATAATTGCGACTTCTTTGAACTTCTCGCTCATCTTCGTAGCCTCGCTGTACCTCTCTGGAGGGACCCAGCTATCACTCGACTCCCCGAGACAATATCGAGATTTCTCCATGTCGTCAACCGCAGATGGCTGCTCTGCTTCGAGCCGTAGGCACTTATCAATTTCCTCAGGGAAACAGTGAATCAGACATTGTAGAATAGATTTTGAAGGTTTGGAACGGGGAGAACTTTGTCAACGGAGAACAGAGCGAAACGTGATCGGACGTCACTCAATATCGGCCGACGATCGTTCTTCCTCTTGTAAGTACCGAAGCCATTTCAAAGCGTGTGAGAGAGAGAGAAGATCAGACCGTACAGAGGAGCTCATCGACGTTTATCTGCAGAGATGGCTTACATAAGTTAGGCAGGCCGCAGGTGCTTATCAACAGTCCATCGAACCGACACTGAGGGATGCAGCCGTGCAGCCGTGCTTGTCAACGTGAGTTTCTAGACCTCGAGTATCTCAGAAATGACCTGATGCAGGGTGTTTGATATATTCGAAGGTGAAGGATGCTATTCCAGGGGGCTATCTTAAATTGTCAACTAATATCTGTTCTGAATCATTGAAAGCACAGGGTCCTCTTCCCTGTCGATGCAACAGCGTTAACTAGAGTGGAGCTTTTGTTCCAGATTGCCTGACTCCGAGTCCCCGGTGACTACATTCTAGGCATACAGACAGTACATAAAGTAACTCGTGCCTGGTCCTTCTTGAAACTGTTCTTGATTTTGATCTCGGTGCATTACAACTCAGAATGCGCGTCCTCTTCCTGGTCCGATGCAATACATGAAGGCGGCTCAATGCAGGCATGGAAACCAGTCTCCATGCCAAATCTGGCAATCCTGCTCGCTGCTCTTGCTACAGTGAACAGTGGCTCATCTTCATCTTGACTGTCGTGGGGGATAGCTGGATTATAGCGGTCTAGGATAAATAGATTGATGTCCGCTTGATCCTCCAAGACATCCTTGACGGCCAGGAACAAGCCAGGGTCGCGAGCATGGGAGCCAAGGAGAAGAAGGTAATCGACAGTCTCATTCCCAATCACTGTCCGCAGCAGGTCTCGAACTTCATGCCAGAATTTCGCGGGGTCATTTTGAGCTAATTCAGATTCTGCTGCATGGCCACCATCCTCAGCAAGCCGCAAGGGCCACGGGAAATCTCTATCCCCATCCATCGGAGTGTTAAGAGTGATTCCGAGGCTGGCGGCGTTGTAGCTGATTACAAGCATGGCGGACAGGTCCAATTCAGATGTCCGTTCATATTGCAAAGCGGCGGGTGAACATTATTATAGTGATGACTTCCCTCTCGGCTTCAACTGTGATTGTAGTGAGGATAGTTGCTCAGAGGATGCATTCCGTTGTTCTGCTTCTGGCACATGTTTCTATTGACTGTTATGAGAATGGATACAGCGGACTATTCATGTTAAAATAGCCAAAATAATTTTTTCTAAATATTACAGGCACAGTTTCGGCAAATGAAAACTTGGATCAACTGAAACTGAAATTATGGCAAAACAATATGGAGGAACAGAGAATAAGAGGTCAAATAGCAGAGTGGGAACGTCTGCATTTAAATGATGTTGTCTGTAAGGGGCTCACGGCATGTGACTTTATATTTCCCCTTCTACAGCTCTAATTGGTCGCAATTAAAACTGACCCATATTTATAATTATAGAAGCACCAGTCTGACCTAGTGCGTCTGACATACTTTCGACAGCTACACTTACGGCCCTACCGAAGGAGCTAGGTTGCTGGAGGGGTCTTAAAATCGGAATTTCCTCTATCGAAACCATACATTTCAGACATCCCCGTAATGTCAAACCATACCTCGGATCTACCGCAATAACCACTTTACTTACCCTAATGATCATGGGTACAATTCGCGAAAAACACAAGTGTCTCATCAATGGACTCACCCATCTTTTCACTCTATTCATCAAAGCCCATTATATCGCCCCTATTGATGTCCTGTATCCCCCCCACGACGCTGATGTTGGACGCCTTCAGAGACTTGGGTTTGAACCGGAAGTGATTGATCTCGTCCAACTCCTGCCAGCGATTAGAAATGAAGCAGTCTGGAGTTACAACGACGAAGGAATAGAAATGATTCCTCGTGCCAAGCTGGTTAATTATCTGAAACAGTCAGAAACAGCTAATGCTAATGACATGTTGGAGACCCTGCGCTGGGTCGACCATACAGATAAGGATGCGCAGGGCCTCTTTCCCCCATCCATCCTTCGACTGACATTCCCTGCCTTTTATGGAGTAAATGTGTTATATGATGTCCACGACCGTACGTTATTTCTCTCTCTTAATTTTTACTTTATTTTCCATCAGCCGAAGCTCTAGCTGACGTCTGCACCAGAGACTATAATGGAATGGTGCGACCTAAACCAAGAGCAATGGCAAGACTGCCCCCGCCAAACATGTGAAGATTTCTTCTCAAAGGTCCTCAAGAAATACCAGGACCTTGAGTATGTCCCTTATTTTGATCCGGATGACGGAGCGCAAGTCCCCAAACGTAAAATCGAGGATAAACCCATTCTCTTCCAGAATATCTTCCCTGGCGGAATTCGCCTTCCGACTGATCCCCAGGCTGCTGTTCAATGCGAGGAAAGGGAAGTCGGCCAGGATAGTATACGTGGTGATCTTAATCAATGGAGGGCTCTACAGAAGCTTTATCGCGATGCGGGCTGGGCGGACGAATTCGACGGAGAGCTTTTCGACAAGAGACGGAGGGATTTGTTGCGTGTGATGAAGGATCTCCAGGGCCAATCCAGGAGATGGAACAAGATTCCAGAGGATACCAAAACGGAGGAGATGCGAACCGCTGAGCGGGCATTTCGTCAGCGTCGGGAGGAATTTTGGGCTGAAAGTGCTGGAGAGTACTATCTTTAATATTTCCAGAGTGTCTTGTGATTTCATATCCCAATTGCTTACACGCCATGGCCATGGAGATGTCTCCATTTGTCTGCCATAATGCTCTGTGATATACATAATAAAACACTTCTAAGCCTGTAGTCTTTCCCATAATCTAATATTATAAGATATAGCCAGTAATAATGAACTAAGGCGTACAGAGTAAAGATACTTGCTTATGAGTATCATAGATATAAATCCAATGCAGTTGACACAATGCGTTCCTGTCACATCCTAGATCTTGCAAGTACTCATGCAGTCTTCGCCGCCGGTTTACCGCGATTATGAGCCATGTGAGCACTGACTAAATGGCCCGCCGCCAAAGCAGCACACGTGCTCAATTCGCCTGCCAGCACGGTGGCTGCGACGATGCGGGCCAGCTGGCGGGCATTATCTCCGGGGTTGGTGGCATGTGCACCTCGAACACCCAGCAGATCGAGCATAGCGGCTTGCGCTTCAAGGATGGTTCCGCCGCCGATTGTGCCGACTTCAATGCATGGCATTGATACTGAGATGTGCAGGTTATTGTTGACACTAGATAAACCAATCAGCCCAGGCCAGGATGCAGTGCAATGAGGTCTCATACTTCTTCATAATAGTGATGCAGCTGCTGCTTTCGACATTCTGCGCTGGGTCTTGCCCGGTAGCTAGAAAGACTGCCGCGACCAGGTTTGATGCATGGGCGTTGAAGCCGCCAATAGAGCCAGCCATGGCGCTGCCGACCAGGTTCTTAGCAGTATTGAGTTCGACAAGTGCATTCACGTCTGTCTTGAGCACGGAGCGCACCGCATCCCCTGGTATCAAAGCCTCAGCGACGACTGACTTGCCTCGTCCATCCGTCCAGTTGATCGCGGCTGATTTCTTGTCGACGCAGTAGTTGCCTGTCACTGAAATAGTTGCCATGTCTGAAAATCCATGCTCCTTCATAACTTCAAGGGCTTTTTCAACTCCTTTCGAAATCATGTTCATCCCCATTGCGTCCCCAGTCGTCGATTTGAATCGCACATAGAGGTAGGTGCCAGCCTGTGCTGATTTCAAGCCTTGCAGGCGGGCAAATCGACTGGTAGAGTTAAATGCCGTAGTCAGGATCTTCTTTCCTTCGTCCGAATCAATCCATTGCTTGGCTTCTGCTGCGCGAGATAGGGATGGGAATGCAAGACAGGGACCCCGGGTCATGCCGTCAGCATTGATGACGGTCACAGCACCGCCCCCAGCATTAATCGCTTTACAGCCCCGGCTGGCGCTGGCTACTAGTACTCCCTCAGTAGTCGCCATTGGAACGAAATAGTTCTGACCATCTATTACCAGGGGTCCAGCCACGCCCACTGGCAGTGGCAGATATCCAATGACGTTCTCACAGCAGGCCCCATGAACCAGGGTGTAGTTGTAGTTCTCAAAGGGAGTTTTTGAATCCTGTAGGCCACTCGCCACATCAAGAGTGGACGGGGTACGAGACACCACGGCGCGGCGGATCTTGACAGCTCGGGTAAAGGCTTCCAGGCGGCTCATCATGGGATGGCGTTCCATCGTCTTCTCCAGGGCATAACCAGGAATTTTGCCGCGGAGGCATAGCTCGACTATTTCCTCATCTTCCAATAGCATTGCTCGTCCTTCTTGTAGCATGGCGTCAACTTGTTCGCGTTTTCGCGTGTCTGTCGGCTCGCTAGGCCCTGACATGGTGTTTTCAGACTCTTTGGAAGAGTCTTTTGACTGGCTCACGGTTGCAGAAGAGCTGTCTGGGATTACCTCATGCTCGCGTACATTCCAGCGAGCTGCCTTCATTAAATAACTGTTCAGTACCAGACTCAGGAACAACGTAGCAATTACCCACTTGCTGATGACTGGATCTTCTAGCCATGCCAGCACACCCCCAAGAGTACGGCCGCGTAGTGTATCGAAGAGCGGACCAGCAAAATCATCCCCGCAAGGCTCAGCCTGCGACTGCAGGACGTATTTGATCGGCGGCAACACTGTAACGCGGGTTTCGATGTTACCCGCATGGGCAACCACGTATATATCGTCCAGAGCATTGCCTGCGACTCGGAAAGGATTAATTGGGGTAGGCATCAGAATGTTGGAAATGCTCGGGAGGTACGTCATCCAATCAAAGATCCTGACGTTGCCGTAAGACAGGGACGACAGTTGAAGCACATTGAAAAGCACGAAGCCGCCAACCATGAGGAATTTAAACCGAGATACATTTGCAGCCTTGACCTTGCAGCCAAAAATACGGGAGTCGAAATCCTGGTTACCTGTGGTCATGCCATCATCTTCCACGGCCCTACGCGGCTTGACATGCTCCCTGATGCGCGTGACTTCCAGTTTCACACATAGCACACTGACGTAGAAGGTAAATAGAAGCAAGCAGTCAAAAACGAGAATCCACGCCGCAAGAAAGCAGAATTGAGGCAGAGCTCCTTGTACCCTCGACGCTGCGCCTACCGCCAGGATAGCAATTTCAATAGCGTAGTCACGCGTGATACGCCATCCCTCGCGCTTGATGGCCGCCTCAATGGCTTCGGGTATGGACCGCCGGGCCATCGGTTTTGCAGGAATGTGGGACTCGGTCGCAGCATGCAGTACGGCCCTCGTTAAATGGATGGGCTTTTCGAACCCCACAATAACTACCAGAATTGGCAGGCATTCCGAAAGAATGATCATGGAGGTAGGTACACCACAGCTAGCAGTGACCTTGAGTCCGAAAAACAAGGAGAAGAATCCAGAGAGCAGCACCGAAGAGGCCAACCAGAAACGGGACCCGAGTCGGCGCATCGATATGAAGAGTGACAGGAAAGTAAGGTACATCGTCAGGTATGCCAACAGCATGATGATGATATCGACAATTTGCGCATGCTGACTTCGTTAGCGGCCTATGAACGGACCACATGTCAATCCTAGGCGGATGAGAAGCAGGCATACCTTTATCAAATCGACAAAGGAGGCCAACGAGTCTATCAGCCAGAGCCTGAGCTTTGGGCCAGAATTGCCTTTTCCGGCGTTATTCACAGTCCAAATTTGCGACGAATGCTCACCCTGCGACTTCGGGAAGCTTTTGGGTTTGCGCAGAACCCCCTCCAGGTAGTTATATGGCACTGAAAGAGTAACTGAAGTTTCGCTCAAGATGGAGGATAAAACACTAGGCGTTCGAGAGACGGGTTGTGCAGCGGTCAAGTCTAAAATAACACTCTCCTGGACGACAGAAATGTCTGGGTTGTGTTTTGATGTGGGAAACACGAGCGTAATCAAAGCTAAATGCGATGCAACCTAGCTTGCCAGAAAGATGAAGTCAGTAGGTTGCTCACTGGGTTGAACAAGGAAAAGGTTTCACCTCCTGGTCCCCCATCGATTCATCGTCTGTCTCCCATCGCCAGGCGGTCGCCTCTCCAAGTCGAAGACTACGGCTCCTCTGAAGAAAGTATGTAGCATCAAGCTGGCTGAAGTGACTCTCTGAAGGCGGCGTAATATTGACATTGTGTATACTTCCTTCCAGCAGATTCGTGTAGGTCATGGTCGCTAGTAGAGCTGTAATGACCAAGGTGTAGATTGGTTGCTTACACGCCTGTCTAGCCACTGTACCTAACACGCTCGTGCCCTGCCGGTGTATCCAGCCAGGAGTATCAGACTCCTTTCTGTTTACAGCAGCCATGGCCGGTGTACCCATGGTCTAGGGAATCAAATTCAGCGATGAGGATGTTGCGGGGTGGGACAATGGAGAATTCGTAGTCAGCACTGCAATCGACACGATTAGCAGCTCTTTTCGACGATGATGAATGAATTGAGACTGCTACTTACCAATTTTCTTCCTCTGGTTGCGAGGCGAGAGAGAAAATAGGGGAGCATCCATCCGACCACTACTTAATGGCACCGGCGACCCCTGCTAGCTCCAAACCACAACTTGTTCATTGTTCTTCCAGGTTATTTATTATTCTACCTCTCAAACAAAGAAGTAATATATGCGGAGTATGTCCGGTTTATCTCTGGGGCCCAGCCCCCAATGATGAGCCGTTCTTGAACCCACCAGTGCCTGTACAGTGGAGGGTGGAGAGCTCTTAGTTGGGGGAATGTGGCTTAGCAACCTAAGGTCCTATCAGGTATGGACACCTGAAGGCAACAACATTATCTATATCCCTGTATACTCACATCACAATTCACCTAGTTAATATTTACTGTGACAGACTTTTCTGGTGTTAGTACTGATGTTTGCTGAACAGTAACATCAGTAACCCCTGCATAAGATTTAGGGTTTAGGGTAAGTTTCCAGATTCTCTAGCTAACAGAAACCACTTCCAGTCCAGCCTACATAAGCGTACCTAGCATGGAGCTTGTATGAGCCAAGCTGTCTGACCAAGGGGCGTAGGACTCGCCAAGAGACCTTGGGGAGACTTCTTAGCTGATATACGAAATGAGCTGTGGATGATTGACGGTCACAATTCCATACATGGCAGAAGAGAAACCTTCAATCTTCCAGTCTAACCATGGTCTCTTATCAATGGAAGTTCACACAGACTACGGAACTACTTATGTACAGGAAAACAAATTTGAAGAGATACAAGATGCTGCCAGTTCACCTTATGTCCTGGCTTGACGCTGAGGAATTCTTTTAATTAGAAATAATACTGCTTCGTTTTGGCTTCGTATTTTACTTCATCTATGGTTCTACACAATGTGGTATATCAGAAGAAGCAGTAATTGTGGCATTCTAAGAAAAAGAGCTTTCAAATAGATAGATAATCTTAAGAATATTGTAGAGTCTATGTAATATGGCAGAGGATACTAGATAGTTAAGGATACAACCTCGAAATTTACTTAGTTTTCTCAGTGTATACAGTGGAAGGCCATATTCATACTCTTTCTGATATTCACTGTGGAAACCATATGTGTAGGATATACTTAATATTCACTAAATCTCTAATTCAATCAAGCTTTATGAGGGAAACATGTCAGGTCTATTCATTCTCAAGCATTCAGTGAATGATGATTCTTAAGCTCTACTTGCCTTACGTGTAAGACCTCCGTTATCTCCCTCCTTCCTCGCCTGAGTCTACCACTAGAACTATCTCATAATGAACGAGCCAGTTCGGCGTATGAGAAAGACGCTTCATGGTTCCCAGTGACATCTCAAGCTAGGAAATTCATGGCATATACAGCTATTCAAGCTAATAGCACAGATGTGTCAAAACTGGCGCGCCGAAAGAGAAGAGACTCAACGGACAAGGCCAGTCAAGCGCCCTTCTCCAAACGCATGAACTGGTCATCGAACCCCTTTCAGAGCTGTGTGATCGCTCCGGCCTATAGGAGCATGGCTCTCCATCTGGCTTAATATGTGAAGGTTCTCGCAGCTCGCTTCGCCTGCCCCCAGCTTCTGGTCGTTGGGACAAGAAGCTCGACGCTCCGCCCAAGCTGATGCATCTGATCTGCTGCCTACGACAGTGACTATTACATGGCAGCCTGAGACTATATATGGTGCTGTCAGATTGTGTATAAACTGCTACCGTGCTTGCCGGCCTTTCAAATGAGAATTATGTTCAAAAACATATACTGCACTCGGGGTGGGGGGAGGGGTTTCTCCGGCGCCATAAGCAGACACCATGTGGAACACGGAAAAGGCGACGCCAGAATTGCACAAAATCCAATTTACACTGTGGACGGGAAAAGCCAGTCTGTTCACGATGCAAATCAAAGGGGTGGAATTCAATATCCATAGTACATCACTAGGCCTAGGCCTGAGAGGGAGGCCACTAGTGCAGCTGATGCAGCAAAAGATTATACAGCACTTCCTGATATACAGGAATCTGGAGTCACCACTGCATTCCAGAAAACACAATCTAAGTCTGCCTTCAGTAGACATCCTGGAATAGGATATGATGAGCTAAATCCTCTCACTTCATAGCGAACCTCAAAGCAGCAGCCCATTGGGACCATCCGCAGTGGGGGTTCGACAGCTGTATTGTGAGTACATCCATTTGGCCTCCATAGACTCTCTACATATTTGCTGACATAGAGCATAGATATTAGACTGCAAGTTGATAACTAAATATTAAACCTTGTTGGAATTTTCAGAATTGCTGACTTTACAAGCAGGTCAGAACCCTAAGTCCCTTGGGACTTGCAACCGACTACCAGGCGACAAAAGGTATGGCACAGAGACAAACCCCCCCACCCAACCAACACCCCCCAATCCCTCTCTCTCNCGCCATTGATGCCAGGTATGTGCAACCAGCCTAGAAGTCAGTCCTCTTCAGGGCAATTCTTCCCCCCCCCCCCCCCCCCCCCCCCCCCCCCCCCAACTGGTCCCTCCTCTCTTCAATAAGTTACTAACGCAAAATCTGATAGACCGGTTATTTGTTATACGAACAACACCTTCAGCTGGTTTTGGGAAAGATCAACTATCACATGCTGTCGCCCCTTTTTTACCCTGAACACCATATTAGATGTTTATAGGGAGGACAATAATAGGCATCCAAATAATCTCGACCTCCGGTATATGCAGACAAGTGGATCAGTCCTTCTGCATGAAATGATGCACGCCAATGTCGTCACGGCAGACTGGGGGCACCGTGAGTACCTACCCACTGCAAACGTTCTTGTCATCGAAGGTTTAATTACCAAGGTTTAGGCTAATACCTATTTACCTCATGCAGTCGAAGACCGTTGGGAGAGTACGCATATATGGTCCCCGTCTCTGTAACTGCCCTGACTTGTTCATGACAGCCGCCACACATCAAAACTGTCGAATACAGGTTGTTAACCTGGTTATCAACAAAGTCTAGCACGCGGATAGAAACGAGAACTGCCCGTTCGACTTCGGCGCAAGAGGCGAAATTAGGCCGGACAGACCACCACCCAGCCTAACAGTACACGATAGACGAGGATCGAAGCTATACTACCTCATCTTTGCTGAATACTATATCCTCTGGTGCACGCCATACTCGCCACTGAAACAATGGCTAGTCGGAAGTTGAACGAATGGCGTCTGATGAAGCAAGAAAACACTTCGACTATCTTGAATTGGTAGAGGTTCCTACATTTGCACAACGGCAAACGCTGTAAGTTTTCCCGACATCATATACAAACCACCGCGAGACGGCCCCCTAGGCTACAGAAATCTACAGACTCTCTTGAGACAAAAACTTGGAACAATATGCATCATATGTTCTCTTCACACCGGACGCGGATTTTCCGTAACATTGATGACGACAAAGGTCGATTTGAGAGCAGTAGCCGGAAAAGTGTCCAGGCCTTATGGGAGATAGTCCAGAACCTCAATCATGACCCTACTGAGTCGACTTCAAAGCATGATCTCCGGCTTTCGCTATTTAGATGCCCGAGTGCGTCGTCGTCTAGTATTCCAATATCGGGACATTGTCAATGAACACCGGACGAACAACGGCGTGAAACGTGGCCCACCCGACGCAAACATTCGACATCCGCCCTATTTCGTGGATGTGGCACCCGACCGAAGTGGGATGCCTAGTCTCCAGCAACGTAGGCGGGGATATCTGTCAATCGTTATCACGTCGTCGCCGGCTAACGACCAAAGAAGCATATCTTCCCGATTTGCCAAGGATAACCAGCCCGGAAGTCACTCAATACGACTGACTCTCAGGTAGCCCTGGGGCCAGGCCTGGGGTCATCCAGGGCTGCCACTGGACCAGGATGTCCTGCGATCTATAGCTCGAGCAGACATGAGAAAGATGGGATATGTCCCAGCGTAAGGTGAAGCCCCCCGCTGTCACGATCACGAGTCAGTAAGCTCTGATAACACTTCTACCTTCGAATATCCCGACACTGATCCAAATCTTTTTGATCCAAGCCGCACTACTGCTGGACCGCAGGATCAAACTGCAGAAAAGCCGAAGTCCTCCCGTAGCAAGAATAGAGTTACAATAGCATTTTGCCAAGAGTCAAGACTCTCCTGGAGGGCACGGCATGGGAACAAACGAGGGAAAGGCTGGCAGAATCAGACATGACGATCAGTATAATCCAAGGAGCCTGAACCTCGGATGGGGGAGAGGCAATCGCAGAGGACTCCGGTGGGAGAGGAGCCATCAAATAGGTCTGTCTAATCCACCCCACGATATCCCCAACAAAAAGATCTAACGCGGCACCCTTCTATATAATTGCTAGATGAGTTTATAATGAAGTCTGGGGAGAATTACATGGTTGACAAAATACGAGGTTGAGAGGGCGTTTGAAGATAGTATGGCAGACTTATAACATATCTTCTAGTGTGAACCCGGAACAATGTTGGCTTGAATCTATTCACTCGGATGCCCAGATCTCGGAGCTCGGGAAGAGCGTTCTCGGATGCCCGGGTGTTCTGAATTCTTCATAGGTATCGGATAAGCTTTCTCCGAATATCATCTTATCGACGGGTGTTTAAAAATACTTAAAGGAACACGATTCTTCTCAAAACAGACTTTCTCTTTCTTTTATCATTGATTTGAATGGTGTTTATTTATCTTACTTGATACATGATGGGTACAGCTAATCAGCAACCGATCGTCTTGTTCCATTACCCTGGATCCTTGTGGGCTGTCAAAATCAGAGCATACCTCGCTCTCCGCGGCATTCCCTATCACGAATGCATTCAACCAGATGTCATGCCACGTCCTGATCTAGCGGCTCTTAACATTCATTACCGCCGCATACCTGTCCTTGCGATCGGACGAGATATATACTTCGACACTGTCCTTATGTTGGAAAAGCTTGAACAACTGATTCCCGGGAACACGCTGGGTGCAAGAGACCCAACGCAGCAAGCTTTGGAGAAGATGCTTGAAAAATGGGTTGAAAATGCAGTCCAACAATCAGTTGTCGGCTCACTGCCCTCTATCTTCTTCGAAAATGAGCAGAGGGTAAAGGACAGGCGACAGTTCTGGGTGACAGATATTAGCATCGAGGGTCAGGAAAAAAGACGACCACAGTCTTTGGTAAACATGAGGATGCACTTCAAAATTCTGGAGAAACTTTTCTCTGACGATAGGCATTGGGTCCTCTCTACCGATAAACCAGGGCTTGCAGACATTCATGGTAAGTTAAAATATTTTCAAACTGTCATCAAAGCATAGACTGATCATCGTTAAGTCGCGTTTGCCCTTGATTGGATTCTCGGCATCCCAGAGGCTCTCCCAGAGCGATTTGTCTCGGATGAATTCCCAAAGACATTTGACTATCTCAAGCGGTATAATAGAGCGATAGCTACCGCGAACAACCAGTGCCTAAAACGAGAGTCTCTCGCGGGTCCAGATGCTGTCAAGCTGATAACTGAAAGCGATTTTGTGGAGCCAGAGGGTGATGTCGAACATGATCCTACCTTGCTTCAGAAGGGGCAAAAGGTTGCTTTGTCGCGCACTGATGAATCGGATTTTTCACGTTCAGTGAACAGGGACTTGGGCACGCTTTTGGCTCTGACGCCACAAGAGGTGGTTATTGCAACAGAAGTCACTTCTACAACTCCGGAGATTAGACTTCATGCACCGCGGTGGGGATTTGCCGTAGAAAGTGTTGCCTGATAGGTCTAAGAGAAGATTTTTGATCCATATATCCACTATTAAGAATGTGATAGGAAATTTTGCACCATTCTCACATAAAATAGATTTGCGTAGTCGTAATTTGGCTTTCACCATGCGTTGCTTGGATAATGTAACCGAAGACCTTTTTTTTGAGATTTTAGGAAACCCTGAAATGGGCCATGTTAGGAGGCGTGATGGGAAAGATATTAAGCTCGGCGTGTCGGAGTATATCGTGAAGCCCGTCTCATATCAAACCCGTTCTTGAATCTCGACTCAATCGATGAATTACTTAGCTTCGAAGAATCATTTTTATATACTACCGTTCCTCACACCCTGCACACAATTCTGCCTGTTCGAGCACCCAAAATTGAATCTAGGATCAAATTGATCATCATGTAGACTGATAGAGTATGAGGTGCATAGTACGTGAATTGATAACCATGATAGCCCTCTAAACATTTCACAGGCTAGCTACCTTTTAACACCTTCCTAATAAGGCCCCTAATTCCTATCAGTTAAATGTAAAAGATAGCCAGTGACGATCTCTCTAAAAGTTGGTAAAAGATTTAGGATAGGATAAATAAAAGGGATGCCGTGACTTAACGGAAAGTTCTAGGCCTAACCTATGAGAACAGCAAGAAGAAGTGTACTTTGAACCCCCTAACATCATAGAAAAGGGTATTAATGAAGCTAGGGGAAATCATTAGAAGTAGGTTATGTTTCGAACGTCGACAAAAGCGTTAGCGATATAGATCCTCGATAACTATTAGTTTAATAAGTTAACTAGGCTAGTGTTACGCGGTGCCGACTGGTCACTGTTAGAGTGTCCTTGGGTGGTACACGCCTAGTTCCAACTGCGGATTCCAAGAGCGTCTCTCAATCGTACCGTTGCTTCGCAAAGCCTTACTGCGGGTTGGATCCTGTTGAGTGTCTTGCAGAACGTGCCAGAGGTGCGCGCCAAATAAGTCAATCATTAAGTATTGCTACCGAGTGAATCCCCTACTCGTAGGTTGGGTTGTCTTAAAGTGAACTGTGAAGTAAAGTACTAAATGTAGTAACCAAGTAACAATGTGCAATTGATCGCGAAGAACTAAATACATGATACGAAATGAGTGTCCTTATATATCTAGTCTTTCCTATCGGGTGATGAGTCGGGTTCATCGCTTGATGAGTCCTGCCACTAATAGGATGTGGTCACGTGGGGCTGCGTGGAGGGTCCGTACATAGGACCAGCATGCTTCTTCAGACAGCAGGTCGACTTTGAGTTGAATACTGACGTTAGTCTGTACACTAATTATAAACGTCCTAATTTTACGGTAGAACTTGACTAGGTCAATGAGAGGGAATTTGAATTATTATGATGTGGACAAGAATGTTAAAGTACTGTACATGCTGCCTGGTCTAGAAGTTGTTTACTAGATTGGGATGCTTTGGCGACTAGTGGGTCTGACTTCAGTCAATGCATGTAGGATTCATTCAGAATTCGAAAATCAAGATGAAGATATTAGTATTAATTCGACTAGAAAAGAATCTTTATGTGCGCCGCCTGATGCGTTTTGACAAGAAGCGGTAAAAAGCAATCCATGATACAATCCCAGCAATTAACCACGTAAAGAAGAAAATGCCCGTGTTTCGTTTCATAAAAGATACATTGCTCTATTTAACGACTGGCCACTAGGATAGGACTCGCGCGAGAAAGGAGAGTATCCAGCAAAAGTAGCGGACCAGTTGTTGATTCGTTCACAGGAAGGCAGCCAGCGCGGCACCAGCCATGACGGACAGTCCGAGAGAGCCGGTGGCCATGGGCATGGCAGCGTTGGAGGTCGAGCTGCTGGAGCTGGACTTGGTGGAGGAGGCGCTGGACTTGGTGCTGGAGGTGGAGTCGGTTGTGGTCTCGGTGGCAGTTGCGGTCGAGCCGGTCTTGGTAGAGCTCTTGACGCCGCTGCTCGAAGGGACGGTGGAGAAGGAAGAGGGGAGGCCGCTGGATCCAATGACGGTAGGAGCAGTTGGGATCACGGGCTGCGAAGTGGTGGAGCTGGTAGTAGTGGTGGTAGCAGCGGTAGTAGCGCTAGTAGCGCTAACCTCAGGACCGACGACAGTGACACCTGTGGTCTGAGCTTCCTGTAGGATGTCAGTATGGTCTGAAGCGCAAGTTAGAATGGGAAAAAGCGTTGACATACCACAGCGCTGGAAGACTGAGCGGTGGCAAGGGCCGACAGGGCAAGGAGGACGATGGAGGAACGCATCTTGTAGTGTTTGATAGATGGCCTGAAGCGAATGTACGTTATCGAAGATGGTAGCTGGTAGAGTTGTGTATGGATAACGAGCGTGGTAGATGAGAACTTTACTTTCAGGCACAAGACCGAAGACTCCAGGTACCTGAGGTGCGCAGGATCATTTAAATAGACACATGAGACCAGGCTGCCAGGCGAGCCACCCAGCAGGGATCACAACAATAGAAACAATTAGCCACTGCCAGTTGCCATTGCCCATCAGCCCTGTCTGAGATTCAGACTCATAGTAATATTAATGGCCACAAGGGTCGGTAGGACCCACCAGACTAGGAGGGCCGACGCATCTCGATCCGCTTCTGGCATCTTCTCGACCAGTCAGTAGGGCCGTAGGGCGCGGGAAGGAGAGACACTACCTAAGCTCGAGAGCCTAGACTAAGCCCTGCATTGCCAAATACGTAGCTTCGAATAAGAGCTGATTTGCTGTGGTCAAGTCTTTTGATGGGATGGAGAAAGGACGGAGTGGCTGTAAAGGATTGCGTATGCTGCTGCTATCTTTGGCACTGCTGGCGCCCATCGGCCAATAAGACTGCAACCGTGCAGATCCCTGAATGAGACAGGTCTTTGTTGATTCAGGTCTGTCTGACTTTGATTCATTCATTGTGATTATTATTTTCTTATTCTCTTGGCTTGTCCCTTGCTCGAATATTTATCACATCGTCAACTCGTCGTCTATCTAATTACCTCTTTGATGATTTGTGCTCGAATCTTATTATTATTCGATCGACAACACCAAGACAATCAGCCTGCCCCATACACCCTCTCTGTAGTACACTCTGCTAAATCAGACACAATTTCTACTTCTTCATCTCATCAAATTGTTGATGCAGGTGTCCGTAAACCGAGGGACGGCAAACCAACCGAGGATAGAAGCCAAAAAGGTCTTCGCCGCATACGGAGTACTCTATCCCCGACCGACGCCACAGTCGGTGTGACTGAACTATGCAGTGGTGAGATACGAACCGTGTAACATGAGCTGACCAACAGGACTTACTTTTGCTTGGGCATATCAAGATGTTGATGAGTTCATGGTGAGGCTCGTGGCCTCTGTCCACGTATGAGTATACGCGGTCTAGCCGCCCTCTAAAATCGACTGTGCATAGATGAGTACAGTTAACTGATATCCTGACCTTCTGTGCGGATAATGATTTTATCTCACAAGAAAAGAACTTGGCAGAATCTACAAGTCTCTGTGGACGTGCGTGTACAAAGTACGTATGCCTGCATCAGCCTGGCAACATTATACCCAGGTGGAGTCGGCGTGTGTGTGAGCATCGAATCAGATTCAATACCAGATGAATTAGTTTCCAGAGATATTTAAAGGCTACAGGGAAAGAGCGACTCTTAAGAGTCATTACTCCTTTGTTGTTGGTGTCTCTAAGAACTGGCATCTTGTCTTCTATAATCAGGTGGAGCAGCTCACATCCAAGGGCAGATCCAATCAAATAACCACTGGGGTTGATTTGCAGACAACCCCTTTGCCAACTCAAATTACAGTAACACGAGATTACCTGATGCAAGGGAACAAAAAGGATAGAGCCACTTCCCATCTTCCGTGTCACAGACACAGCCCTTGTACATTCGACCCTTCAGTCCGAACCTTGAGATCCCAAGTCAATGGAAGAACTCGGGCAAGTCAGGAGATATTACATTTATGGTCCCTTCATAGTTGTCGCAGAGTGGTATGACAGTAAAACTAGCCGCCTGGTAAGTTTGTGGGTGAGACTACCAGACTAGACCCAACGTTTCTGGGGAAGATTAATGTCACCCCCACCCATAATAAACAAAATGTAATTACTCTGTACATCTCTGGTACAGCACAAATGATAATCACAATGATGAAGCATTCTGTGGTAATTAATTGACGCCAAGATAGCTTGAATCAAGGTCACTTTTATCACAGAATATTCAAAGTTATCAGTTGCAGGCTTGCAGCTGTGGGTCTGGAAGCTGCCAAATGCCACTCGCCTAATCTGGAACATTCTTGCTGGACAGCAGGTTTCAGCCTTTGTCTGCAACGGTCAGGACGGGATATTTCCCTTCATCCCTTTCTTTTGGTACAAGGGCTGGACTCTGGCCACTCCATTGGCCATGTTTCGACTCACCTCGATGGCCTGGAACCAGGTCTCTCGGGGTTGTGGATTGTGGCCTTCCCATGTGCACCCCGCGTGGTTCGAAGCATGTGTGTCGAACAGTTGAGATGCAGGTCCTGCTCGTCGATTGTTTGATGCTTATATGTCAGTCAGGAAAGCTATCTTGCTATTGATCATGTCTATACTGGTTTAGCTGGATTTATGATGTGCTGACAATTTCTGGCTCAGGCCGCAGGCGCAACAGCTACTTCTCCCTCGTCGCTGTGGACTCGCGTACTCGACCGCAATCCAAATTATCAAATCTTATCGCGGATTCTATTTCTACGGTCCGGGACACCGGTTGTTCATTCGCCAGGATTCCGAATTGAAGATGGTTTGAGTCTCCAGTGGCGCTGATCTCTTCGCTATTGCGGCTTCAGCGAACTCCCTTACCCAGCTTCTTTAACTGGAATCGTCCCAGCTTCGCTAGAAACACACTGTTTTGAAAACTCTAGACTAATTGTGCAGATTTGGAGCATAATAGGTCAGCTGCCGCACTCCATCTGGCAAGCATTGGAAGGTCCATGTGCCGGGGGTTATTCCAAGACAGTTGAAAGAACCAGCAACTTCAGTAATGGATAGGCCTCTGCATGACCTAGTTCTTAGAAGACGGAATTACTAGTCAACAGGTAACTTCGACTGTTGACTTGTGGTAGGTTCATAGAGTACTGCTTCCACTTATGGTACCCTGACTTAATGGGTATGTATAGTAGACAGGTAAGTACTAGCATAGAGGGAGACATATCCCCCAGTGGTTTCTCATCCGTTATATCATTATCTATATATAGGAATAGGGAGATTTTGTGAAAGCAATTCGCTGTTGGCCTTTATTTACCTAAACTATATCATAGCGATAAGAGCTATTGGCCATTAATAATTTCCGGAGGTATTCACATAGGCTAAGCAGAAGTGAGCCTATTCCTAAAGCTAGTCATACACTGTAAGCACAACGCCATTCACTTCAGTTTGACTAGCAGAGAGTAGTGAGTATACAATAAACTCATGAATCTTACTACCTTACATAATAGAAGCGTCCAGCTATCTAAGAATACTCTTCCCCCTACTCACTACTTTCCCTGATCTTGCTGGCCGCCGTCCTTCAGTCTGCGAAACGCCTCAGTGTTATGCCTGGTGATCCTGGATATGTGGCATAGACTGGTGTCTTCGATTCTTCATCAGTGTGGTCAAGGTGTGCAGTGTCTATTAGTGGCCATGAACCTAAAGATGAGGGCTTTGGCCGTTTCTATGATTTCAGCTGCTCCGATGCGGTGGAACTACGTTATGGTGTGCTGGGCAAACCCAGTTCTCGACTTTGAGAAACCTTCGCATTAGAGCAGTGGTATATAAGATGTTGTACCATTCCTCTCAGAAAGTCTGACCGGCTTGAAGCCTCTGCTCAGCTTGAAGCACAGTCGTCGAGTTCAACTCGACAGCCATCAGCTGAGTTGTCTATCATGTCAACAGAGCCTGACACCTCGGAGAGTTGGGAGGCGTTGCCGTTGCGCGCAGAAGCAACAGAGAGAATCGACAGATATGAGCTCCATAATCGGCCTGATGAAGCTGTCCTAAAGGTGTCGTTACATGCATTTCTCCAGTGGCTTCCCGAAAAGGGCCGGGCCACTGTGGCCAGAGACATCAAACATGCGATAATATGGAACCACTCTAACTTAAGTTTACTTCTAGATCTATGTCAATCTTACTGTACGAGCAAAAGTCCATGAGCAACTCGCGGAGAGAAACACCACCACCTGATTCTCAACAGTCAGATCAGACTGCTAAACGTCTGGGACAATATAGCCACGGGCCGGTAATTCATAGATGCCGACGTCGATCAGTCAGACTTCACGGAGCGAGAGAAGTCCACACAATAGAGCAGTGGTATATAAGATGTTACACCACTCCCCTCAGAAAGTTTGGCCGGCTTGAAGTTCGTGCGCGTCTTGATGCTATGTCAGCAACTGAAAAAACAATCGAGAACGCAAAGAACGCAGATCGTCAAGCTGTGCACCGGGCTATCATCCAGCTTAGAGCAACTGCAGAGTATCAGTCGGCTAGTAAAGCAGAGCAGGACACTCTAGTGGAAAGAAGCAAAGAAGCGCGTTATGGATGGGCGGTAAGTGACGATGCCTGTACTAATCATTGTAATAATCAATACTAATGATTAAATAGAGTCAAAGATGGTAGAGCAGCTGTGTATGCTGCAGATAAGCTCGGTTATACCGAGCAAAGCGTTTCCGCAACATGGGAGACAGAAGACATCTACCGCTTCAGTAGGTCCATCTGAAGTTCATCGCAGGGTAGTCTTTTCCTCTCCTGCGCCGAGGCATTTCGAGTTCGAGGTATTGAGATAGGGTACCGGGCATGTTACAAGCTTTAGAGCTCTATCCCTCAAGTCCATAGGTCGCAGGCGACTAGGAACACCAGAGGACGGATACCGGCCTCAGCATTGAATACAGACCTTAGTATCAGCTACCGAAACCAGGAAAGGAGCAAGGGCTGGCATATCAGAGCGTCATCGTGGCTTCCTCTCCCCTCCGTATTTCAAGCAGGCATTATATGATGGATACACCATTGTCCACGTTGTGTTGCTGGAACACTGTTCCATACCAGCTCCTGCTGATGTTCCAGTACATGCGCCGTGCTTCTCGTCGTGGAGGCTCCATTCAGTCATGTTTCTGGGCTGTTCACTCTCGTGACAAGTCACCAAGTCTAGCAATACCCCCAAGATGTCATGGTTCATCTCGATGGCTATCACCACGGGTATCCAACGCCTATGAGAGTAATGAGGTACCTACCCCAGTTTTAAAGCAAATTCGACATGGAACCATTTTACAACCTGCTTGCAAGCTGCTTGCAAGCTGGTGTTTAGATTGGGGGATATCACGGCGGTCATACCGGTCTCTTCTGAAAATTCTCGAGAGCCTTGACGATGTACGACCGATTCGGAGACTGCCGAGGACTCTTCAGACCTTGAGTAAAAACTTCAAAGGTCAATTTCAGAGAGTACCTGTACGGCCTGTTCAAATTCCCGTGGTCTCCGCTAGACTCCCCACATTTTCCGCGGAGCAGCAAAGGCTTGCAAGTACTGCTAATTTCTGGCAGAAATCGAGGTAAACCCTCATACGTGTACGTGTTACAGCCTAAGATGTTGGTGGTATGCTAATGAGGCTGTCAAGGTCACTGAGGGAATGCTTGAAAATGCATATGATCCTGCAGCGATTTGCTGAGTCAGTTTTCACGTCTCTCTTTTCTGATACATTCATGCCTCAGTTTGACAACTGATATCTCAACTGGTACACTAGATCTTCCGTTCTTGATGAGGACTGGGGCCCTGCGGCGCTTCCGGGCATACCAACCGCTATAGTTACTTTGGAGACAGCATTCAAAAACGTTGAATGCTGTGGGTCTCCGTCTTAGTCGCCATGGCCGGTACGACCGATGCAGTGGACCCATTGTCTTTTTGTTCCTGCCCATTGTTGGACCTTTTCATCCGGTTTGAACTAAGAGACAGAATCCACTGTTAAAAGAGCGGCACCACAGCAATCACACGCAGAGAAAGATGTCAATGGCTCAAAAATACTCCCGATGTCAATTGAATCAGCGCAAGATAACAGATGTCTCACAAGGTGGCCAGTATACGAGGGGTTATATCTGTATTATATCCCATTTAAGGAGCTGGGCCATTGGTGCTCTCGCAAATTCTCGGATACGGTATGTAGAATCTGGTGGACGTAATTCATGTCAACGCTGATTTCAGCCCTCTCACTGTCAGCCGCGCCGGAAGAAACTGACGACAGCAGGGAGAATGAGGCCATCCCTTTGGATATAGGTAGCCATCGCCACTATTGCTAGGGACTGTCTGTCGCTGAGTATAGATTTATAAGGTCCATCAAAATCTAAATGCAGGCTTTTTAAACTCAGGGACGACCTGACCATATAGCAATAGAGGAACATGTCGCAGAGTCATGTATTGAATTCGAAGAATCGCCCTGAGTTTATACGGAGCGTGGCAATTCTGCAGACGATATCACTATAAGTTCTGACTCCCATACCGACTTTGGCATTGACACGATATCAAGCACTACCTAGTCTTGGGCTTTCCCACAAATAGGAACACTAAATAAGATAATGACTGCCAGGAGATCAGAGCACCCCGAGCCCAGTAGAGGACATGCAGTCACATCTCCTTGACAAACCCAACCTCCACCACCCGATCAGCCTGAACATTCAGATGCTGGATTTTGGTCCTGCTCGCGTCTCGCATCCACAGGAATGCCACCAATACCATGCGACGAAAGAGATTGGTCTCCCTTGCAATACGAAGCTGCTCCTTGCCCACAATATAGATAACCTGCGACTTCCACGCACGATGAAGTGCATCGGTCTCCTTGTGCGCGTCTGCCGGGCTGACGGACGGGCTCTCTCGCGCCAGAAATTCCCGGATCTGATCCAGCACTAGGATTCCCAGGTCCGGGGTGATGACCTCGTCCGTGTAGCCGTGGCGAACAATAAGCCTGAAGCAGTTCGAGATAGGTTGCTTTCCTGGCCCATTACCGTATGTGTGGCAGCGCATGACTGTGTACCTCTCGCTAGGCGCAACGGTTGGAACAGACAAGGGGCGTAAGTGGAAGAACACGGATACCTCTGGCGCGGCGCCAAACTTCTGGATGAAATGGAGGAAGACCGCTGGGGTGGTGGCGGAATTGCCAGATTTATCGAAGAAGACACCGAGCCCGCTGATGGGGGTGATGGTCGAGCCGCCTAGGTCTGGGTGGAGAATGAGCTGGTTGTCGCGCAAGAACATCGTCCGAGACAGGGGCACATTGTCGGATTCCTCGGCGGTCCATTGTTCCTCTTTGCCGTACCGCCATAGCACGAATATGAGTGTCAAGACGACTCCAAGCATGAGGGTGAACCAAGCACCGTGCGGGACTTTGCTCAAAGCGGCAGAGAGGAACATGCCATCCCACAGGGCGAAGATGATGAAGACCGGCAGAACAAGGTAGATGGGCAGTCTCCACACGATGAGAGCAACTACCGTGACCATGCACGTAGTGAGGAAGGACACGAGAATGACACAAGCACCGTATGCTTCTCCCAGGGCGGTTGTCTAAAGCATCATGAGACTGTCTCGTCAATCAAGACATCAAGGGGACTTACGTTGTTATACACAGCAGTCACGATGATCGTGCCAATCATCATGAGCCAATTGGCGATAGGGATGTAGACCTGGCCATGGAATATCTTTGAGACGTGATAGACTCTGACTTGGGGGAAGTAAGAAAGCTTCATGATTTGCGACAAAAGCTACGACATGGTTAGGATTGAATGGAGCCAAAGACGTAACAGGCATACCTGGAATGACCCGGTGATGACAGCCTGACTGGCGACAATGCAGGCAAGGACCGCGACCACGAGACTCGGGTACAGCATGCCTGGCGGAACAGTGAGGTAGAACGGATTGGCATATGCACTGGGAACACGGCTGATATGGGCGCCTTGTCCGATGTACTGGCCATGACCATTAGCATCATACAATCGCATGCAAGGGTTCAGTTCAGGGACTCGAGCACACACCGAAATCAAGAGGCATGGGTAGGCGAAACAGAGCCAGGAAATCTGCACAGCTCTAAGCGAAGAATCAGCATCGGTTTCTTCGCAACTTATACAAGATCTAAGACAATACCGCTTGCTAAAAGCACCGAGATCCGCGAACAAGGTTTCAACGCCTGTAAAGGCAAGCAGGATGCCACCAAGCTGCAGCCAGCCAGCACGCCCGTTTCGCACCAAGAAAGCTCCGGCAAAGTAGGGCGAGAAGCCTTTCAGGACAGATGCATCGTACATGACAAGGTTCTAGAATAGGTTAGCGATAGCGAGTTATTCTTTGCACCGTTGAACTTACGTATATTCCGAAACTCAGGTTGAATAACAGCCAAACAATTACTACCGGTGCGAAGGTGATCGCTATCTTACTCGTACCAAAGGGTTGGATCAAGAACACGACAACGAGGATGGCGCAGGAAACGCCAACCACTGTCGAGGATGAGAGATTGGGATTGATGACGGTAATACTAGATAAATCAGTCAACGGGTCACTCTTCTAACAATATGAGACACACCCTTGAATGGCCCCGAGAATTGATTGAGCCGGTGTCAAAACACCATCTGAAATCGAATCAGTACAGACTCAACGGCTTTCATCGAGGATACCTTACCTGCCAGCAGCAGTGAGACACCGAAGACCCCAACCACCTTAAACATCCACTTCATGAATGTGCTCCGTTCTATAACATTGCGAGTCACCAAGTTCGGCTTTTGTAAGTCATCCGTAGCATATCTCTGCATGCGAACCATATTGTGGTGACGAGGATCGCGGCGAACTAGATTGGCCTACTCTCAATGAGTACAGAAGTTCATAGTATAGAAGCAAACCAGAACATACGTAGCGCGAGATCAACGAGTACAAAGCGAATGTACCACCCTCGCCCTCGTCGTCTGCGTTCAACACAATGCAAACATATTTGACCGTGACCATAATGGTGAGAGACCAGATAATCAAGGAAACCGCCCCGAGGACATCTTCACGACTTGGTTCACTGCTGAATGTGGACGAGTAGACATACAGCGGGCTAGTCCCAATATCTCCATAGATAACTCCGAGGGATTGGTATGACAGCCTGATCATTATCAGAATTCAACATTATCTATTGGAGGTATAAGACAGGTTAGGTTACAAACCAAGCTAGTGTCCATCCGCTGAACACCTGCGGGCCATCAGTATCCTGCAAGAACACATTTACACCGTCACTCACCTGTTTCTTGTGAAAGTCCCTCTCATCATAATCTGCTCCCTCGGTGACAGATGCTTGTTCAACATCCGCGATCTTCGGATCGTTAGTGACCTTGCGCTGCAGCAGATTTTCGTAATGTGCTGGCCGGGACGGGAACACGCCGCCGCCAGACGAAGCAGGGAAGGCAGCGTCAGTGTCGTCGCTCGATGCGTCTGTGTTTGCCATGACAGCTAGATGCTTTCTGCGTATCAGTCGAAAACGAAAAGGGCTAAGCTCTTTCTCAGCAGGGGAACAGAGCTACCTTTTAAGGCCTCGACCCGCGCCCTGGAAATCATCCGACATGCTTGAGTTTTGACCATCGTCTGGAAGTAAAAGTCCGAACCAGTATGTTCATCTTGCCATTCTCGTCATCGACAGAGATAAGGTTTAGTTATGTTCGGTTAGGTGACACGAGGGTGGCAGCAGTGAGAATTCTGGATAGTGATGGATATTGGATGGGATAAATCCCGCGTATTCCCACCATATCATACAGAGCTCAATAACACTTAAAGTTTCGCGGTAAAATTATCCTGACATCGACTAGCTTCAATTGATAAAGATAAGGCTATTTCAGCAAGCAAGGGAAGCCAATGCCATGCGCACACCTACAAGGTCCACGCGGAGCTTAATTGTATGAGGCAATTGTCTCCTCCACACAAATTTCATCCTCATATCTTCTTGATCCCGGCAGTGCCTCATGCTTTAGAACATCAAAATGACAGTCCGATTCTGTCTGATAAGGCCTCCAAAGCACTCGTTCCCAATTATTTGGGGTTTGCATTTACTCAGCTGCAAGTTGAAAAATAATGGAGGAATCATCCTGGTATTCTTCAGTTAAAGCACCATACGTGACTACCAAAAATCTCCATCTTTGAGTACAAAGCAGAAAAATATGATGTCCCTTCCTGATCACAGGGCGTTTGATTCGACTAGCTTTCCTCTCCGATACATCACACATGAATGACGTTCTGCTCCCATGGATCTGCAAACTCTGATGAGACGGTGCCTGTCTGTGGTACGTCCGTAGGGGAATATTACCATAGGAAAGGAGAACCCATCGAAATGTTGTGTTTATGACCCTTAACCCAGTCCTCGAGATGATGATATGTGGGAACCGAGTCCCCTTTGCGAGCATCTTGCCGATAACATATGGCTATGCGGCGTATAGGTTAGATGGATCTGACTCACCACTATCACGGTCCAATTCTCCGGCTTAGCAGCTAGATAGTGGTGCGTCAGCCCTTCACTGATCGCGAAGTGTTCACCTACTGCATAGGAGGAGACATGCCATGGAGCGTACGTTCGTGTATGACATGTGTCTCATTTTAATATCGTCACTGAGATGGTCTTCGTAGCATCCTTGGCTATCGTCAAAGCCCTAGCGCATGACCAGTTCTCCAAATGCCTTTTGAAGCATACCCCGGAAATTATCAGGACATGATCGTCAGGTACATTCCAAAATCATAAGAACAGCACAGAAAGAATCTATGATGCTGAGGCATGTGCCTTATCCATTATAATCGAGGTGATCTATCGATGTACCATCACATAACCTCATCTCAAAATATTGATTCGCCTCATTTGGCTTCCTGCAAGGCATCATTCCCCCGAACCCATTCAGCGAATTCCTTCCTCTTCGCCTAGTACTGAATCAGCCCCATTTCAACTTACACCAAAAGGGAAAGTCAACTCACCCTAATATCCCAGAAACTGTATCGCTCCTCCAGCCGAAGGTAAGGATTCCTGGCGCCTCCTTCCCTCTCAATCTCCCCAGCCCATTCGCTCCAGCTAATCGGCTTGAGTTTCTCTGTGCCTAGTACGAGGCCCGCGGAGACGATGACGAGTGACACCAAGGCCTCAATGACGATATCAAGGGGAAGCGCGGTGGAGGCTGAGGAAAGGCGCACATTACTGTATAGGACTGTGTGTTCGTGGGCGGAGTAGCCTCTGCAAATTTAGATTCGGTAGTTAGTCTTCTGAAGTAGTTTGCGGGTCAAGTGATGTGGCATACGCATGTGCGAGCAGAACGAGCCCAAAGAGTGTGATTATTCGCGATATGAAGCCCATGGTGGCTGGTTTGGCGGGTTTCTCACGACGAGGTCTGACTTATGGATAGGTCGGCGGTTAATCAATGCAATCCAGGAATCCGTTTGAAAGACGGAATGCAATTAGTGCCTGTGTAGATTTGCAGCTCTCGGTGGATTAGACAGCTTCCATGTACTCCGTAAGCCCTGAGCTACGATGTTGTCGACCAATTGTGCACTAGCTTGTACGGGTGACCGGAGGATCATGATACGCACTTAGGTACCTACAAAATACGTGTGGTTCTACTTCGGAGTCTTTGGCCGCTGGTACCTAAACTTGGCAAGATATCCATGCATATACCACCAAAATTACTACGGAGACCTAAGGCACCTGTTTGTATCTAAACAACACCCCGTAGCCTCTAGTGAATTGAAATATCATTATTCCTAAGAAAAAGCAATTTAGAGCCCCTTTAATCTCACTGATCTAAGCCGCCTTCGATGCCACTTCCTCCTACAATTAACCATATCTGCCTGCCTGCCTACATCCTGCATTGAGACCGCCTAAATGCAATCTAAGCCTAAGATGCCTCATCCAATTACCATACGAGTCCAAGCTTTAACTATGATAACCATTGGTGTTGACATCAAGGTGGTTGAAGCAAGCCTCGGTCTATCTCGTCAAACCATCCAATACTGGGTTAAGAAAGCTAGGGAGCGAGGCTACAATCCAGCGGTTGACCTGCGTATTCTGCCGGGATATGTGGAAGATGGCAAACGTTCAGGCCGCCCGAAAAAGATCACTGATGGATCTACTGAGGAAGCTATTCTTGAACCAGTTAGGGAAGATTCAAATGGGCAAGAGAAGCCTTCTGAAATTCCAACGCTTGAAGCCGGTATCTCTTATTCTTCTGTTTTATTATTCCTGAAGCAGAATGGCTCAGCGCAGCCAAACAAATGACTAAACCAGCCTTGCTAATGAGACGAAGCAGGACCGGTTGCTATTTGCGCTGCCCACAAGATTGAACCTTTGAGGACTGGAAGAAGGTGATGCTTATGGGTGAATTGTCTGTTTCTCGTTACAGCAGCGCAGTTCACGTTTGGCGTATGAAGATGATACCAATGATTCCAAGGCTGTACAGCGGAGTTAGAAGGGAGTTTGCGATTTCGCGGTTTTGGAGGGGTTTTCATATTGAAATAAAAAGCCAGTTGTAATAGATTACTTTTTGAATCGGCAGCTTGAGCCTATACTATGCAGGTGTACGAAAGGCAATTAGTATGCGCGTACGAAACTTCGAATTGGAAGACTTCCTGGCTGTGTGCCTTCCTGAGGGACAGCTTGGTCCAACAGGGCAGGCTAACAACCGACAACTACTAACTACCACTTGCCTCGAATCAGGTAGTAATCATATTCTCCTATATCAAGTTTACCGGCAGGTTCTACACCCCAAAGAGAATGAGACGAATTGAAGGTGGGTATTTTGTGCATTGGGTTTGATTTTCATCAAAACGACTGGAGACTGCTCCAGTCGACTTCTAGTTGTTTCATGACACTACAAGTCGCATAAATATTCCATCATCACACCGTTGGTCTTCATAACGGGCATTTCATTTACAGCTTCTGCATAGCGGCCTGTGAGGTAATGTCAGCATCTATTGTCTCGGCGTCAGATCAAGGTCGAAACTTACGACATCGGTGGACTGGACGTGGTCCTCATCCTCCTCAATCTGCTGCTGAAGCTCATCCAGAGAAACCTTCTCGTCCTCAATGACAAGGTTGATCTGAAGCTTCTTGATACCGAAACCAACAGGAACCCACTTGTAGGCACCCCACACAAGACCGTCCATCTCAATGGCCTTGACATTCTCGAGGAGCTCGTCGAGGTTGGTCTCGTCATCTAAACAAGAGCAATTAGTTTCGCGTCAAAAGTGGAGGACTACTACGAGCGGTCAAACATACCCCAAGGCTTAACCTCGAGAGTCACAATGGACTTGGCAGCAGGCTTAGCCTTGCCCTCCTTCTTCTTCTTGTACTCAGCAAGGCGAGCCTCACGAGCGGCAACAACATCAGGGTCCTCCTCTTCCGATTCACTGCCGAAGAGGTCCATGTCGTCGTCCTCAGCAGCGGGCTTGTCCTTGGGGTTGGTGGGCAGCTCGGTGGCCTCGGGGCCATAGGCAGTGTAGGCCTTGGAGGCATCACCAGGGAGGCTGGAGAACTCAGCCTCGAAAGAAGCAATGTGCTTGTACCAGCGAGCAACGTGAGGGTACTTCTCAGCGTCAGGGGCGCCAGAGAAGGCCTTGAAGGTCACAACATCGGCCTGGGAAGGAGCATCGCTATTTGTGACACGTTAGCCAACCCGAATCTAGGTATTGCTTCTTTGAGCACAAGTTGTATTCGGCTCCAGAGTAGCACGCAGATTTTTCCTCGTAATCAGAAACGCGATTTCTCGCAATTGTTGTGTAGTCATCCAGCGGGGTCTTAATCCGCCTCCTAAACACGGACCAATTTGATTTCATCATGCAATCGAGGTGAAGCTTGTGCGTAGGAGGATGCAATTTAACGAAGAAAGCCCAAAATTGTGAGTCTTACCCAACGATGTAGCTCCTGCTAGCCAGGTAGTTGTTGGCAACTGAAGGGCACCATTAGCTACTGACCAGAGGCAAAGAAATAAAAAGAAGACATACGGGTGAGGCCAGCCTCAGAGACGAAGTCGGTGAAACCCATTGTGATATGATATAGAGAATTGAAAAATATGTGTGTGGTTAGAAAAGAAGAGGGGAAAGAAGAAGTAATAAATAGGAGAGGGGTGAGGTGTCCAGTAGAAGAAGTTTTTTTTCTCCCAAGTGAGGGTCCTGGGCAAAAGCGGGTTAGGTGCGAAAAAGCCCCTCGATGGGGCTCCACGTGATCTGGGTGGTGACGGAGCTTGGTCGATTCTGTTGGAGAGCTTCCGCCACTCAAAGCGCTCAGAAAGGTGGAGCTTTCGAGAAGCATCAGGATGCTTGGATCCTTGGGACCGTCGGTACTGGGGGTATATAGGGAGTCACAGACTTGTACATCTGGCGTTTAATTTCTATCTTGTACCTTACTGAAACCTACGATTGAAAATTGATTTCAGCTGCTCCTTACCACCAAAACCGCCATGGCATCGAGGCAGCTCGCTCGAGCCCGGCTTCTTCGAACGGCAGCTCTATCACCGAACCGTATATTCCGTCCTTCCCAGACATTACGTTGTCTCCCACAAACACAGTCTCTCCTGCCTAGAGCTTCCCTCACTGTCGCGCTGCAGTCGATATCTCCAATACGCCACTATGCTAATGGACGACCGCATCCCCCTGGTGGTACACATCGGATGAATTTGGGCGGCGAGCCAGAAAAGTCGGCATTGGAACAATTCGGTGTCGATCTCACGGAGAAGGCCAAGAAAGGGAAACTCGACCCAGTAATTGGAAGAGATTCGGAGATTCACCGCACTATCCAAGTATTATCGAGGAGAACGAAGAACAATCCCGTGCTCATCGGAGCGGCTGGTACTGGCAAAACTGCGATCTTGGAAGGATTGGCTCAGCGAATCGTGCAGGGGGACGTTCCAGAAAGTATCAAGGACAAGCGCGTCATTGCCCTTGATCTTGGTTCGCTTATTGCTGGTGCAAAGTTCCGGGGTGACTTCGAAGAACGTCTGAAATCTGTTCTGAAGGAAGTTGAAGACGCGCAAGGCGGTGTAATTCTCTTCATCGATGAACTTCATACCTTGCTTGGGCTAGGCAAGGCTGAGGGCAGCATCGATGCTAGTAACCTTCTCAAGCCAGCACTGTCCAGAGGTGACCTGCAGTGCTGTGGTGCCACCACTCTGAATGAGTACAGATTGATCGAGAAAGATGTCGCTCTGGCACGACGATTCCAACCCATCCAAGTTGGCGAGCCGTCAGTCGCCGCTACAATCTCTATCTTGCGTGGTATCAAGAACAAATACGAAGTACACCACGGTGTGCGGATTACCGACGCAGCCCTAGTCGCCGCAGCAACGTACAGCAACCGCTACATCACTGACCGGTTCCTTCCGGACAAAGCTATCGATCTCGTGGATGAGGCAGCCTCGGCTCTGCGACTCCAGCAAGAATCGAAGCCCGATGTGATCAGAGAATTAGATCGCCAAATTACTACTATTCAGATCGAGCTTGAATCTCTCCGCAAGGAGACTGACATTAGTAGTCGTGAGCGACGCGAAAAGCTGCAGGAGGACCTGAAGGCCAAACAAGAAGAATCTGCGAAACTCACCGAGGTTTGGGAAAAGGAGAAGGCAGAGATTGAGTCCCTCAAGCGCACTAAGGAAGAGCTTGAACGTGCTCGGTTCGAGCTCGACCAAGCACAGAGGGAGGGTAATTTTGCGAAAGCGGGAGAGTTGAGATATGCGACAATTCCAAGCCTTGAGGCGAAACTGCCCAAAGAGGGCGAAGAGGCAGCCGCGGGAGGTACGACATTGATCCATGACTCTGTGACTCCAGATGACATCGCAAACGTCGTGTCTCGGACAACCGGTATTCCTGTCAACAAGCTTATGGCTGGAGAGGTGGAGAAGCTCATTCACATGGAGGATACGCTTAGACAGTCGGTTCGTGGACAGGACGAAGCTCTCGCGGCCGTTGCAAACGCCGTACGGATGCAGAGAGCGGGTCTGAGTGGTCAGAATCGTCCGCTGGCGTCGTTCATGTTTTTGGGTCCTACAGGTGTTGGAAAGACAGAACTGTGCAAGAGGATGGCGGAGTTTTTGTTCTCGACTGAGACTGCCGTCTTGAGATTCGATATGAGCGAATTCCAGGAGAAACACACAATCAGCCGTCTTATCGGGTCACCTGCCGGATACGTCGGTTACGATGATGCAGGACAGCTCACGGAGGCTGTGAGACGGAAACCGTACGCAGTCCTGCTGTTTGACGAGTTTGAAAAGGCTCATCGCGACATCTCCGCCTTGCTGCTGCAGGTTCTAGACGAAGGCTTCCTAACGGATTCCCAAGGCCACAAAGTCGATTTCAGGAATACCCTCATAGTCTTGACTTCGAACCTCGGTGCTGACATCCTTGTTGGCGCGAACCCATTGCATTCCTTCAAGGACTACGGCGATGCCGAACTCTCCCCTGACATCAAACAGGCGGTTATGGAAGTCGTGCAGGGTGCCTATCCTCCGGAGTTCCTCAACCGTATCGATGAGTTCATCATCTTCAAGAGGCTTTCACGAGAGGCGTTGCGGGATATCGTTGATATCCGAATCAAGGAACTCCAGTCAAGGCTTGATGACCGCCGCATTGTCCTGCAAGTCAACAACGAGATCAAAGATTGGCTTTGCGAGAAGGGCTATGATCCGAAGTATGGTGCTCGGCCTCTTAATCGCTTGATAGCCAAGGAGATTGGTAATAGGCTCGCTGATAAGATCATTCGTGGTGAATTGACCTCGGGACAAACTGCCGTCGTCTCGTTCAACGCGGACAAGACCGCGCTTGAAGTCTCAGCAGATGGTTTAAAGGAGGAGAAGGCATGATTTCTTTAATGTAAGGGAGTATATTTGTTTGTCGGTGTTGGTGTATCATCTGTGTGCATTTTTCTTGGCTGGCTCAGGATCTGGCGCCACTTGGCTTTGATGGAGTTTATCCTTTTTTGAATATGTACAATAGCATCTCCTCTTGTGTATATTAAATGCGTGACATGAACAAAAAATAATTGCATGAATGAATGAGATCTCTCGTGGTTCAAAACTGTAGCAATCAAGACCATGGGAACCCTGGAAGCCTGAGGCTTAAGACTAGCTAGCCAACAGTAGAGGCAGTTCAACGCCCCCTCCATCAATAATCTCAACAGCGCCGGCAACCTTAGAGGATCCTTGTCCAATATGTCGTCTCAAACAAAGAGAAGATGCACGGCGTACCAGTCATACATTGCACCACATTCTCGCAATTCGAGGAACAGCCGTACGGACGAATCGTTGCACTTACACCAGAGACCGAATATTTCAGACAATCCCAGCTCCAATTCGCGAAGAACTTCTGCATTAGGACCTCTCCATTTAAACAATGAAACAGATCACAGACTCCGTAATAGGTCATTGGAGATGTCATCTGACGACGATCTTGAGCAGGTCATTGTCGCAATTGATATTCGAGAATCGGGTACCGTCGGTTGCTCTTACTACTCAGCTCAGGAAGAAAGTCTCTACCTTTTAGGAGATATACGATCTTCAAGTAATGATGCTATTGATAGCTGTTGGTCATGGTCTTCCCATTCGGCCATGAGAGCACTGACAGCAGGCTAGTGATCGAACAGACGAAGCCCACTGTGCTCCTTACCTCAGCTCGCGTTGACTACTTAAACACAACACAAAGCTCGGAGCAAGTTGGTATGCCTATTCTTGATAATGCTTGCGTTTACATATAGCTGATTGGCGGCACTGTAGAAGATCATCTTTACCTGCCTTATCAGCTCGATATACGCCCGTCGCAAGAATTCAGCCATTCCAATGCTACGGCTAAATTGGCGGCTCTGGAGGTTGCGTCAGCTCACGAACAACGGATGAAGTTCTTTGTCCCTCACAATGGATTGATTGACCCGGAGCAACTGGATGCGGAGAGTCTGGGTTTTGCACTTCAAGAGGGAAGGCTTCTGCACATGGCAAGCTCCATCGATATGGAGAATACCGTCACCATAGGCTGTGCCGGGGCTGTCCTCGCATACCTCCAAAGGCGAAGAACTATCGACTCGATCACTACACTTGGGTCCACTGGAGCATATCAAGTTCGCTCAGTCGAGATGGTCAGCCTCAAAGGAGCCATGTAAGTCCTGGAAACTCAAGTCCCCGATTGCGACATACGCTCTGACAATGTTCTAGGTTCATCAATAGAAGCACCTTACTTTCCCTGCAAATCACAGAGTCCGAGTCGCACCCCAGTATGCTCAAACAAGGCCCCGGAAGAAAGTCACCAGCCTCGAAAGAAGGCCTCTCCGTATATGGCTTGTTTCAGCGCTTCGCACATACTCCGCAGGGGAGAAACCGGCTGAGGCAAATGTTCCTTCGCCCGAGTATCGAAACGAATGTCATCTGCGAGCGGCATGACTTCATCAGTGTCTACCTAAGGCAGGATAACTATGATGCTTTGAATAAAATTGTGAAGAGCATGAAGCATATCAAAAACCTCCGACCCGTGATGATCAACCTCCGAAAGGGCATCAGTACTGGAAGTGCTAAGACCACCGGATTCAAGACGACAGTTTGGGCTACACTACTTGCTGTACGTCAACCTAGGGCTTACGCGCATTCTGTAAAAGCCTTGCTAATATCGCTCAGTTCGCCTTCTATGGCATTGATATTCATGACGCGCTCAAGGAGACATTCGGTGCAGATGCTCTAAGCTTGCGTACTCAGGTACGACTGTCTATGGAAATGCCGCAAACATACTAATGAATGTCCAGGCTCTCCGTGTATTTGAAGCATGTCAACTGTATCGAATAGGAAGGATGATTCAGGAAATTGTATAACCCGTTCGGGATTTTGGGAGCGCGCTGGCTAATTCCTTTTCCCAGGTCGACATTGATTGCTCTGAAGACCATGGTAGAACTGTTGTGAAACCAGGTCTCGACCGAGAACTTGACCGGATGAAGGACACATATGACGGTTTGAATGATCTCTTGAAAGAAGTTGCAACAGAGATAGCAGCGACGATCCCCGAAAGCCTCGATATCGACGTGAACGTGATATACTTTCCCCAGCTCGGGTTCAATATTGCAGTCCCACTCAACGACAGGGCTGAAGCAGCTTACAGCGGCATTGCTGATGATTGGGAGCTTATATTTGTTACTGAGAATCGAGCATACTTTAAGGATTTCAGAATGAGGGAGATGGATCAGAGCTTGGGCGACATATACGGGCTGATTTGCGGTATCCTACGAAGAATCTCCCTTATCGCGATGATGAGCTAACTTTTCATTCTTCTCAAGAAAAGGAAATTGAGATTGTCTATGATCTTGCGCAGAAGGTTCTGCAATATGAGAATGTGCTCGTGCAAGCGTCAGATATGTGTGGCCAGCTCGACAGGTAATGCATTGACACGCATATTGATGATTTAGACTCATGCTTTCAGTCTCCTTGCTATGGCTCAAGCAGCGAGTTTCTATCATATGGTTCGTCCCAGGATGGTGGAGGCGAATATGATCAGATTCAAAGGTGGCAGGTGAGATCGTTTTGGTAATGTATTCGTCTAATTCGTTGACATATATATCCAAGGCACATACTTCAGGAGCTGACCGTCCCATCATATGTACCAAATGATACGTTCTTGGTAGGGGGCAGCTTGCAGACTGGAAGTCGAGCCTCACAGGAGATGCTGGAGACCCCCCATGGTCCAAGTATGCTTATTCTTACCGGGCCCAATTACTCTGGAAAAAGCGTCTACATGAAACAGGTATGGATCTCCAGTCAACATGTATCTGAGGCTTCAACTGAGAGACAGGTTGCTCTGAACGTATATCTGGCACAAGTCGGAAGGTATGTGCTATAACCATACTATACGACAGCAAGTTAATTGTAGCAGCTTCGTTCCAGCAGAGAAGGCAGAAATCGGAGTGACTGACAAGATTCTGGTGAAAATGAACTCCCAGGAGAGCGTGTCAAAGGTATTGTTTCGTGCAGTAACAACGAAGATAAGCCGTTCCGGGCTGCTAACTCTCACCAGATCCAAAGTACATTCATGGACGACTTACAACAAATCTCCTTCGACCTGAAGCAGGTAACCGGGAGAAGCTTACTTCTCATCGATGAGTTTGGCAAGGGAACCAACGAGAGTGGTTTGTACCTCCATTTTCTACAACACTCTGCCAGAACTTAACTGCAACTCGCAGATGGCATCGGCCTCGCTTGTGGGATACTCGAGCATTTGCTGAACCTTGAGGACGCGCCAAAGGTCATCGCGGCAACGCATTTTCACGAAATATTCGAGAATGGATTCCTTCAACCAAGGCCTAGACTCCAGCTTGGACATATGGAAGTTCGCATCTCTGGGGAGGCTCGCCATGTGGAAGACCAGATCACCTATCTCTATAAGTATGGTCCCGAGTGAAGCTTTAAGTTCAATGCAAAGATTTTATGATATCTGATTGATGACGAGCACAGTTTTCGTCCAGGTCGTAGCAACAAAAGCTTCGGGACGATGTATGTGCCTCTCTAATATCGATCATACCTAAAAAAAACTTATTTGAGCAGTTGCGCAGCAATGAACGGGATAAGTCAAACGATCGTTGACCGGGCGAATGAGCTCGCAGCTCTCTCTGCTCGCGGCGAAAACCTGATCGCGGCCTGTGCCACGTTGTCGGCTGAAGAGACAGAGACTCTGGCTGAAGCGGTAGGATGATCTGATTTCCACGGCGATGTGGAAGGCTGATGGCAATCTTTGCTTCTAGGACGTTTTAGCGAGACGTTTCCTGGCCTGGGATTTGTCGAACACTTGCGATGCTGAAGGGGTGAGAGATATGCTCGGGTCCCTCTTTGCTAGAATGGAAGAGTAACGCATGGTACATCTCCTGGAGAGATTGCACTGGAGTTTCATGGTATCAATTTCGTTCACTCGATGTGGTGTATTGGCTTACTTTTGCTTTGTGGCTGCGAAGTATCATTAAGTATCTGATGGAGAAGTGGAGAGGATGGAGTTGCAGGAGAAAAGTAGAATGTGAGAGATTGAAGGTGTATATCATCAGATGGATTATATATGTACACGCAAACCCATATTTTAGAGAACACGATGAACGCCCGTTGTGCATGTATCCAAAGAGGAAGAGCGAACGATGATCTATAGCTTGACACTCTTGACCAGGTTCTTCTTGATACCAGTAAGTTCACCACCGTACCCACCAGGACCTTCACCTCCCTTGTAAATCTGGCGGATACTGCCAAGCTTCTTCTTCTTCTCTTCAAACTTCTTTCTCTTCTTGACACGGGGGTTGCGGGAATCCTTATTGCGCTTCGGCGCAAGACCCTTATTCTTCTCGATCTGGTAGGTGATGGCACGTTTGCCGTCTGGTCCAACCTCCTCTTGAATCTCCACGCGTCCGCCTTCGCGGGCTGCGGCCGCATAAGCCTCTGCGCGGGCCTTCTTTTCGTCCTTCTTCTGCTTGGTGCGGGCTGCGACCATATCGTAATACTCGTCATCGTCGGTTCCGGCCCCGCTGCCCCTGATCTCCTTGGAGAGTCTATGGTCTTCTTCATCACTGTCGCCGCCAAGCTGCTCCGTCTTGTCTGGTCTTTGCTTACCACGCTTCTCGGCCTCAGCGTTCAGGCGAGCTTGACGATCCTTCAACCGCTCGCGATAAGGCAGATCCGCATCACCACCAGCGTCTCGGCCAGCTGCACTGCGCTTGTTGGCCTTCTGTGCAAGCTGGGAGGTGTAGAAACGCAGCGAGCGCTTCTGCTTGACTTTTTCTTCGGCCTCCTTGGCGGTAAGAGCGTCCTCATCACCAAAGTCAGAGTCTTCGGCGTCCCGTGCCGACTTGGTTTTCTGGCTCTTGCGCTTTTTGATAGGCTCTGTGACGAGTTTCGAAAGGTCTGCAAGGTTCGCTTCCGTCTCACGTAGCTTCTCTGCTCTGCGGGCTTCGGCTTCGGCTTGTGCTGCCTCGGCTGCGCGCTGGGCTTTAGATAGCTTCTTTTCGTTCTTCTTCTTCTTTTTCGGCTCCTTCTCTTGCTTACTCTTCTGGATTTGCTCCTTGGTTGTCGATAGAGGGGCATCTGAGTGCTGCTTGCTCTCTTGCTTCTTCGTAGCACCCTCCTTGGGGATTTCGGGAACGGAGAGATCCTTGACCGTCTCCCAGAGCTTCCTGAACTTGACTAATGACCCCATGACTGGGTGAGCTCGTAGTTGAGCGGGCGGCAGAGGAGATGGTTTTCCAGATGCGTCCTGAGACGACGATAAGAGCATGAAGTACATGCTAATCGCTCCCAGGTAAGCCGACAGAGCACGAAACTTGATGACGGGGGCCGGAGCTGGTCCCAACATCGCTTCCTCGTCTTCCGGCGCCTTCCCGGCTTTGGCAGCTTTTTCGAGTTCGGCATGTTTTGCTTGAAGATCGATAAAATCTTTCGCCAACGGCTCAAACTCAGGATATCGCGTCTTTAGGATTTTCAGCTTCTCTTCTGTGCTCATTTCGTCCGTAATCTCCACCTGCGGAAGAACTTCCGTTACCACACCAGCCTCATCTTCTGCGTCTTCCTTCTTGTCAGCTTCAACCCATTCCGTTTCGTCGAAGCCAAAGTCTTCCTCGTTTATGGCTTGTAGGTGCTTCTGTTGGAGTCGCTTTGCTTCCGCCTCTTCTTCGAGAGCATCAGCTTCGGTCTCAATTTGGTCGGCGTTGTAAAGATCCTTCTTGGACGTTCCCCACGCCGCAATGCCCTCCTCATCTTCTGAAGCATTCGAGCCAGGACTATCGCCACGGCGGGACTTTTTGGCTTTGGAAGAACCCATCCCCATGTCATCATAATCCTCATCCTCATCTTCATAAGCATCTTCATCGTAATCCTCCTCGTCGTCTAGGTCGTCTTCGTCGATAGACTCGTAACCCATGATCTCCTCGTCGGACGGCTGAAGCGCTTCCTCTATAGGACACAAAGTCAGGAACGGACAGGATGGATAAAAATGCAACTACTCAGACAAACCTTGCTCTGCCATTTTTCTCCGTCTCTTTGCCTCCGGGGCTTCTTCCAGCAAAATGTGGTCGCGGCCCGCTTGGAACTCATCCTCGGAATCATCGAACCTTTCCTCGAAAGCAAATTTTGTGCGCTCAGTCTCCTGAGCAGAATTCTGCTTTGCAGGGCGACCGCCCGCCTTCCTTTTCTTGGCCATTTTCGAGGAAAATTGACGACGTGGGCTTATTCTGACCAAGATCGACTCTATCGAGTTGATAACTTTTGCGATAAAATTTTGGGATTTACCTCTCACCGCCGTCACAGCGCTAAACTACGTCAAGTATGTTTGTTTTGTTTGTCTATTTACCAATCGATACGAGCGGGACATTGTTCGATGGTACGAACCCGTCGAGGAGCTGGTATCGGCGAGTACGGGAATTTTTGCCTCAGGTATCCAAGAACCTTTCTGTTGTGAGCTCCTCCTTCACAAGTTGAGAAGCCGACGACCTTCAGGCAGGAGCCCTCCTAAACTAAGATCATTGTTTATAGCCACTTTCTTCTTCCTCTTCCTGCAATTTTCTCACTTATTCCTATTCTCATGTCTCAAATTCATTCGTTTATACCCTCTAACTCTTCACCCGCTACATTGGGAATTTCACTCATTCTCTGTGGTCTTATCGTATATAGCGTATCGAAAATGTTCGGCTTTCGAACAAACCATTTCCCCGTTGAGGGTCGGGTACGTTGGGAACTCTCATTTTAGATCGTGCGGCATGCTGAACATCTCTCTGCAGACTATTGTTGTCACTGGTGGTTCCGATGGAATGGGCAAGGCTGTGGCGTGCCAGCTCGCTGAGAAAGGTGCCAACATCGTTATCGTGGCCCGCACCGTCCATAAGCTCAGAGAAGCTCTGGAGGCCATTAAGGTAGACAGACTCCCAGTCTCTGCCTTCAATCTAGGGCGCTCACATTAGTGTAGGGAACTGCCAAAGACATCAAGAAACAAAGATTCCACTATATCAGTGCCGACTTGACAGATGCCGCAGAATGCGAGCGTGTTATTGCCGAGGTCACTGAGTGGAATCATGGTCTCGCTCCAGATGTCGTTTGGTGTTGCGCTGGTTACTGTGAGCCTGGTTTCTTTGTTGAAACCCCGGTCAACACACTGCGAAACCAGATGGACACTGTATATTGGACCGCTGCGAATACAGCACATGCGACTCTCAAGAGCTGGCTCAAGCCAGTTGCCCCCAGCCAGCAGGTACCGTTGCCTCAGAGACACCTTATCTTCACCTGTTCCACTCTTGCTTTTGTCTCCATTGCGGGGTACGCTCCCTATTCTCCGGCCAAGGCCGCGATTCGATCTCTGGCCGATACTCTGAGTCAAGAGATTGAGGTGTACAACGGTGCTCGGGCAGCGAGAGCCAGAAATGCAGCTCCACCGGCCGATGTTAAGATTCACACTATCTTTCCCATGGGTATTCTCAGCCCCGGTTTTGACAACGAGCAAGAACTCAAGCCTCAACTTACAAAGGAACTGGAAGCTGCCGACAAGCCACAGCGTCCGATTGAAGTCGCCAGGGCATCGATACAAGGCTTGGAGAAAGGCGACTACTTGATTACTACGATGTTTGTCGGCCACATAATGAAAGCGAGTGCTCTTGGTGCCAGCCCTAGGAATTCGATCATTGGCGATACTCTGACCAGCTGGCTCAGTAACCTGGTATTCCTGCAGGTTATACCTGATCTCCGAAAGAAGGCTTTCAATTGGGGCTTGAAGAACGGCGTTCCATCATCTCAGTCGAAGTAAGAGTTTGGTATCGTCATATTCCTAGTGTGCGGTGTATTCTTAGATACCCTCGAGCGTTTTGCTCTGTCTCTTATTGTTATTTGTGATGATCCTGTGCTTAAACCTCAGAAAACTGAGGAAATGAAATTAGTAGTATTATTCTCTTCTACTTGCTAATTGCTCATCGCCTAGTTTGATTGTTCAATTATACTCTTGTGCCATCTTGGAACTTTTGCAACTCTTTAAACAAATGCGCATACAGGAGCCAAGCACATCAGTATTCTCATTAGTTACATCGTAAATCAATAGAAAGCTTGGTGGAATGATTGGCGGAATGATTGGATGGAATCAAGAATTATGGGGACGTGTCCTAAGATAGCTGCTCAGAATGAAGTATTCTGACAATCACGGGAAGCAATGTATATACAACAGTCTTGATGTAGATAACAGCGTCCTTTTCATTCCTTGTCCTTACCTGAACAAGGTCTTCGAACGATCGGATCGCTACCTTCATTTTAAAGGTCCCATTTTCCAATCACTAAGACGTCGTCAATTTAGCAAGCGCAACAATTGCATTGTTCTACTTTCCTGCATTCCTGTTGATGATTGCTTTGCTGACAGTGACGTAAAGCTTAACTATCAGGATCTCCGCAACCAGTCAAACTTCTGCCCTACTTAGTATCTACTTGCGGACCCCAGCCACAAATATCGCTATGTCAGACACATCTGCAAGTTGCAGGCAGGAGATTGCATATTCTACAAAACTACTTCAGTTACAACCCTTAAAATATGCAATTGTTGAAACAAACAAGCACATCTAACACTTATACCGAAGGCTAATGCGCAGATCGCACACAGAATGGATGCGCTCTTCTCCCTGCCAGTCCTTTCGCTATTTCTCATTCCTACGATTTCCTCGTACAGCACAAGCCTCAACTTGTTATTCTTCTTTATGACATGGTCGACCCTTGTGCTGTCGCATCCTCCTCTCAGGGTCGAATTGTTCGGTACCGTGGCCGTGCGACTCCTCTTTTACGTCCTTCCCTCTGTTCTCTTCTTCCTGTTTGACGTCTTGACACCCTCCGCAGCAGTGGTGATCAAGGCGCATGGAGAGACTGGCCTTCCTGCGGGAAGCAAGCGAAGCAAAATCCGAGCAAAAGACCTCAAAGTCGCGGGATGGGCGCTAACCAACCTTGCTTTGAGCATCGCCGCGCAAGCCGCCATTGAGGTCGTTCGCACCAAGGTGCTCGGAATGCGCAGCGCTCTCAAAGTGTCCATGAGACTGCCGATGCCATGGGAGATTGTCAAGGACTTGTTTCGAGGTTTGTTCGGGAGAGAGGTGAGTGGTCTCCCGTCCTTTTGGATGGATAAGCTCTGTGGCCTGAGTTGACCCTTTCTGCGACGCTGTAGATCCTAGCATATGCTGTCCATCGCTACGTCCTCCACTCCAAGCAATATAGTGTCGCAAAGTACCATGAATCATGGTATCACTCACTGCGCGCACCGTTCCCCCTCACTGCGCACTATGATCACCCCATCGCATACCTCCTCGCCAACTTCATCCCAACATACGCACCTGCCATGCTCTTCCGCCTCCACATGCTCACCTACCTTCTATACTTGTCAATAATATCCATTGAAGAGACGTTCGCCTTCTCCGGCTACTCTGTGATGCCGACAAGTTTCTTCCTGGGCGGCATTGCGCGTCGCACGGATGTGCATTTGCTAAGTGGGGCTGAAGGGAATTTCGGGCCTTGGGGTATTCTGGACTGGATGTGTGGGACGACTGTTGGCGATGGTGAGGATGGAGCGGGTAGTGTTATAGATGATGCGCAGAGTCAGCTTAGCGCTAGCCTGAGCCAGGAGGGGGATATCGATGAGAAGATTCGGAGGGCTGTGGAGGAGTCTACGAGGAGGTTTAGGGATGGGAGTCGTCGTCGGTTGCGGAGAAGGCAGAGGGATGAGTAATATTGGGGTTTGTGCGTTCATGAGGTCATAGTTTTCTGTATGGATTTATGATTATATGGTATGGGTGCGAAGTCACTTTTATATTTTGGATTTGGATGCTTGATGATGCGGTGGCATGGGCTACTACTCCGTACAGACTGTTGCGCTGGCGTTCTCGAGACACTTCAAAGTGGGTATCCTCGTTGTAAGGTCGCAATCGCATGTCCTTAGGGCTGATACCCGCTGTGAGTGATGTCGCTTGGGCTTTGAATAAAAGAGATGGCGATGTGCACGAAGCTGAAGTTGGAAGTTGGATCAGAACCTAAGTCCCTAATTTTGGATCTCGACCTGAACCCGGAAATAAGAGATGTATCATACTTAACATAAAACGATAACGCCCAGCCTAGTCTTTTCAGGGGCACGTGTAACAGCTGGAAAAGGTATTCTTTTTTTCTTTGACATTTCGGCTTTTCTTTAAAGAGGTTCTGCAAATTGGGCCACGCTGGAGGAGACTTTTCGTTGAAACAAGGAAATGACAACCGGTTTTTCCGAATTGACCGCAATCCTAAGCAAAGACGGAGCCCGTATCGAGTTACATTATTTCATGAACTTGTTCCTCCCGCGCTGCAAAAGAGATATGCGATCCCCGGGGAGTGGGGACGCCCATTTGCAATCCAAGCCGCCCTCGCGCAAGATTTCCCCCACAATCACTACCGAACCCGCGGCCGCCACGCACGTTTACCACTTCATCTCGTGGGGCTTGTCGCCGTTCCGGAGGCTGAAGGAGCTGGCGAGGTAGCTGCCGAGGAAGGCCTCCTTCTTGACGGAGGCCAGGATGGACTGGTCGACGGCCTTCTGGTCGCTGGCACGAGCGCTGGCAACCTTCTTCTTCTGTTGTAAACAGTCGCATATTAGTACGTGTCGTCGATTCACAAAGGAGTAATCTCCTCCTCCATCGTGCACAGGATCTAGTTGATGGACAGAATTCACATACCTCGGGCTTCTCTCCCTGCTTGAAGAAAGCCTCCTCGGTCTTCTTCTCGGCCTTCTTCTCCTTGGTGAAGTAGTCCGAAGCGCTGACCTTCTCGAGGACGCTCTGGTCGACGCTGCTGATGTCCACACGCTTGCTAGTGGCGATCACGTAGCGAGCGTTCACCCGTCTGAGAGGAACACCGTTGATCTTGAAGGGACCGGTAACGAGGAGGACACCCTGGTCAAGGTGCTTGAGGAGGATGACACGCTTGCCACGGAAGCGACCGGCGAGGAGGATCAGAATAGTACCGGGCTGAAGGGTTTCCCGGAGCTTGGTAGGACGAATAGCCTTGCGAACCTGTTCAAATGCACAACCATGTCAGAAAACTCTTGTTCCCATTAATCCGGACACACTTGTAAGTTATGGATATGCAGATATATCCCCGGAGATGCGATTTCCCTTATCAATTCATGTTCACATTGACACTGGCCTTGATCCACCCACAAAAAGTGGCATCATTGACCGGCGCAATCGTCGCATTCATTCATAAATTAAACCGCATCTCCAATCAAGCCTTTCTCTCTGTGTAGGGCGTACTGACTTTCCTGGGCTGCGACTCGTCATCAACGGGGTACCATTTCTGGGCCTTCTGAGCCGGAACGGTCCTCTGGCCCTTTCCAAACTGCTTCGTCTGGCCAACAGTAGAGTCCGACATATTGGCTACCGGGGACGAAGGTGGTCTGAAAAGAATATAGGAGGGGGTGGGTGGTTGTCGACGGCGGGTGGTTGTTGGATTGAAGTGTGACTGACTACTTGCGGCCCCGGGCGGAAATCCTGAGGTTTGTGGGAACGCGAGCCCTATCAATTAACCGAATCGCGCTAGTGCCGATTTGGAGTCCCTGATAAGGTCACTCTTGCCTGCCTGAGGTGTCAAGCCCGGTCAACCATAGAAACCTTTAACGCAATGGAAGCTTCTCTCAGTCCCATCATTCTTGAACTGACGTATCCTTCTGGAACCCCTTCAGAGCTTACCAACCATCACAACAACACCGTCCCGTCTCGAACAACATCACATTACGGCCGACAAATTCCAGCTCTACCATTATTCTACCTTTACTCTTCATTCTCATAGAACTTCACCATGTCTATAGCCCCGCTCATTACGTTCAAAGCTGGTATTTGTGACCTTGATGTGAGTGATTGACACTACAACTCCGACACCTTGACCATAACCTCTGCCTATCAAATGGCCACGATTCGGTCTGGTAACTACTTTATGACCGTTACTAACACTACTTTCCATCTGAGCAGGTCTCAAGTTCAAACCCCGTGGTCAAGCCGAAGCCTACTCCAGGTTACATCTACCTCTACTCCGAGGATGAATTGGTGCACTTTTGCTGGCGTCCAAGAACCGCTCCTCCTGACCAACCCGAATTGGATCTCGTAATGGTCCCATCAGACGGGACCTTCACCCCGTATCAACCAGCTGGCAAAGACGCACCCACAAACGGCCGAATCTTTGTATTGAAGTTCTCCTCCAGCTCGCAGCGCTATCTATTCTGGCTCCAGTCAAGATCTCAACATGAGGGAGGCGATCCTAGCTGGTTCAGCCCCAGAGATCTCAAACTTGGCGAAATTGTCAACGAATTACTTCAGGGTGAAGAAGTCGACGTCGCGCATGAAATTGCCAACCTTCCCAGAGGTGGTCCGTCTGGCGGCGGCGACGACGATGAGACGATGGAGGATGTCGAGGGCGCGGACCATAATCCAAGCCATAACCACGCGGGCAGTGGAGGTGCCGGCGTGGACGCTACGGGTGGAGACATCAGAGAAGAAGGAGAGGAAGCGAGGGAGGGTGGTGCTGACGGTGGAAGAGCGTAGGTACATCTTCCTGCTTCTGTTCTGCGGTCCCCATTGGCTCCCGCAACCGAAATATACTTCCTGGTTTTTAACCATCGCTGTACTGAAATTTACTGAGCTGATCTCGTTTTCTCAGGGCGGCCGCCGACTCAAATCCTTCGTCTGTTGTACAGAGCTTCCTTAGGTCCTTGCAGGGGAACCAAAACCAGTCCCAAGACCCCGACAGACCTTTTACGACGCTACAAGACCTCCTTTCGCCATCATCTACGATCCCTTTTTTAGAGTCTGCGGACGATCGAACCGTAGACAATCTCTTAAGCTATCTGCCACCGACCCTCCTTCTTTTAGCGCAGGAATCCGACGATGTGTCGCTTGCTGAGACCGATCCGGAGATCGTAGAAGCAGCAATGCTCTCGCTCGACCTGTCGCAAAAGAAGAGCATATTACGGAAAGTCCTCCATTCCCCACAATTCTCGCAGAGTCTTGCTAGCTTGACTGTTGCTATCAGAGATGGCGGCCTACCAAGCATAAGCGAGGCCCTCAAGATCCCTGTTGAAAATGGTGGTTTCATGCATAGAGGAGGTGTTCCTCTTGGTGGCGGGGATGCTGTTGAAGCTTTTCTCAGAGGCGTTCTGGACCATGTTAAGGAATCGGATCAGGAGAATCAGATGGAGACTGATTGATTGAGCCGCACGTCTTGTACCAAAAAGCATCCTGTAACTACCTCCTCGAGTCATGATCTATCCGTCCACTAAAAACGTCGCACTCGCAACAGAAGATTTAAACTAGAGAACCAAAAGTCTTGGGTGCTGCTGGTTCATCAATCCTTTTGGACACGATGCAACATGCAGAAGCAACTTGGACTCTCAGCTCTACTGCTAGCAGTTTATGGGCAAGACCAGGTGCTGAACTATGCTCAAAGATTGTGACGAGCTAAAACACCCCCAGGCAAGGCGTCGACTAGCAAAACCCAATCATTGACAGAGTATTCCATATACTCCGTAGTTTTAGAGCGATATTTTCTCCAATTGGTTACAGGATCACAGGAGTCATTGGGCTGGAGCCTTCATAGCTCGTTAGTCCTAGGAACTAGCTATATCGCCAAAACCCCATATACGAGTCAAACAAAAATCTGTCGCTGCTGTGAACCCTGGAGTTAACGAAGAAGCAGGCGGAGTAGAGAGCATTAAATGATACAATTTCCAGAGTAAGAAATTAAAAATAGCTAAATTTGGATGAGCCACAAGCGTGGGTTCTAGAGTCTCAGGTTCCATCGCAGGTGAGACCAAGTCCAACGAACCACACAGAAGCCAGCTTACGGGCCAACCGCCCCAGTTTTGGCCGCGTTGGCGTAATCCAAGCAAAGCTCCGCTGCTCACACTTGTTCAATAATATCGCGATGCCCAGAGCGATTTGTACAGTAGCCTGCCTTTTCTGTCGCACTGGCCTTATTTTCCCTCTTGACAAAAGCCCGTAGATTCCCGCTAGTTTTGCCTGATAGGTACGGAAGAACTGGTGTTGATAGAGAAGAACATACCCGCATACTTGGCAAGGCAACAACAGTAGTAAGTCCCTGAACGGAAGAAAATAACCTAGCAGAATGCAACACGTTTTCTTTATCTCTATCGTTGAATTGTCCCTAACCGCAAGACAATATTGACACAGGTACGGTTTCCACAGCTGCGTCTGCAATGTCTACATTCGGCTAGCGCATTGTACCTGCCTACGATGGCTTCGAATAGCCACAATCGCGGCATTGACGAAGACAATGCTCTCACAGATCAATCGATTCCTTTACAAGACCTTTCCGGGCCGTTGGAGCGCAGTCAGGCTAGGGCAAGTCGCGTGGGAAGCAGATTTCTGTCGAGACGATCTTTGAGAAGAGGAGGCTCTTTGAGTAACTATGAGAGGGTGTCGGAGGAGTCCCCTGTTGAACCCCCGCCAGTCGCACGGCGTGCACGTCCACAACATGCTGCCCATGATAATGAAAATGCGTTCCATGTGGAGGATCCGGGCACATTTGCGCAGGCAATGTCGGCGGTGGGCCTCAGCTTCGACCCGACACATAGTACCACCACACCTTCAGCGCGACGCCGCGAATCTAGCTCCGACTTGACGAATGTCCCTCTCGATGACTTTGGGCCGCAGGAAGCTGAACACTACCTTTCCCCAGCCGATACCTACGAGGATAATGATACGGCCCCGTTGACCGACCATCGCTTTCTTCAGCCCATCAGCGGAGCCTCTCACAACTTTTCCGGTGGACAAGATGACCGCAGCAGCACGCACAGCGACCGTTTCCCTCCCGATTCGCGTTCAGAGTCGCGTTTGGGTGATGATCTGCCACATCTTGAGAGCGGTTTGGGTCGGAGACGTCGCGGGAGCAGCAGCGCTGGAGATAGTCGGGCCCGTTCCTTATCTCCTTCGGCCACTGGATCTGCGTTGCAGCGTGCGAGTTCGATGATGAAGTCGATGTCCCAGCGTGTTGTTAACCTGAGTAATGAGCCGGAGGTGGTTGAACAAGCAATTATGAGGGAGGAACAGCACAAGAGTGCCCGACTCGAAGAACCTCCTTCGCTTCCCTCATTGAGTGGATATGCACACGATGCGCCGTCTATCGGAATGCCTGATGATCAAATACCCCGGACTAGAACATCCGCGAGCAAAGCGTGGAGGATGTACAACAATCCTCTGAGAGGCAAAGCACTCGGAATCCTGGGTCCGAACAACCCTATACGTGTGTGGCTATGCGACATACTAGTTCATCCTTTCATGGAGCCTTTTATTCTGGTTGTGATCATCATCCAGACGATATTGCTGGCTCTCGAATCCGCAAAGTCGGTCTGGGACCATCCCCGATCTGTGCGCTGGGGCTCTAATCCATTGGACTACGCTTATTTTGTCATCTTTGTTATTTACACATTGGAGCTAATAGCCAAGATCCTGGTGTCGGGCTTTATCATCAATCCGGCGGAATACAGCACCCTAGATCGATCGATGGGGTTGAGGAAGGCAATCGCGGAGAAAGGGAAGAATCTACTTGCACCGCAACGGCAATTTGCCTCCAAACAAGCCTCTAGTACTCCAGAGCCACAGCAGGCCTCAATTATACGCACTTTCACTGGCGGTTTCGATCAGTTGCAGCCAGAAGTCATCGATGACCCTTTACAGCCACGCCGCGTGCGGCTCGCACACCGTGCTTTTCTCCGACATTCGTTCAATCGTCTGGATTTCGTCGCCGTCGTAGCATTCTGGGTTTCCTTCTTACTCTCTCTTACCGGTGTCGAAACTCGTCAGCAGTTATACGTGTTTCGCATGCTTAGCTGTCTTCGCATCTTGCGTCTTCTTGCGCTCACCAACGGCACATCAGTAAGTTGGAGAACTTCGTTAATTGAATTCCGGTAGCTGATTCAGAACAGGTCATTCTCCGAAGTCTCAAGAAAGCAGCTCCCTTGCTTGTTCATGTTGCATTCCTTATAGGCTTCTTCTGGCTACTATTTGCTATTGTCGGGATTCAGAGCTTCAAGTCGAGCTTGCGACGCACTTGTCGCTGGCTCGGCCGTGACAATGAGGCTGACTTTGATCTCAACGATCCGTACGGCACGCTACAATTCTGCGGTGGATACCTCAATGCGACTACTGGCGCCAAAGAGCCTTGGCTGAAAAACGATCTCACTCCGAGCGATTCGGAACCGAAAGGGTATCTCTGCCCCCAAGGCTCCATTTGTGTTGAAAACACCAATCCGTATGGGGGGACAGTCAATTTCGACAACATCCTGCATTCACTGGAGCTTGTCTTTGTGATCATGAGCTCAAATACCTTTTCAGATCTTCTATACTACACCACCGACAGCGATTATCTCGCAGCTGCTCTTTTCTTCGCCTTCGGTATCGTCATTCTAAGTCTGTGGTTGGTCAATCTGCTAGTTGCAGTGATCACGCACTCATTCCAAGTCATCCGAGAAGAGAGCAAGCGAAGCGCCTTCGCTGTTCAAAAACTCGACTCAATTGATACGGAAAACACATCTACCCGCAAAACTAGTAGTTTCAAACGCCTCTATGACAAGACGGAGTGGCTCTGGATTGGCATCATCGTTCTCGATCTCGTAGTGCAGGCCATGAGAAGCTCGACGATGGAGGAGGATCGAGCCAATCTTATCAATGTTGTCGAAGTCTTTGTTACGATCATTCTTCTTTTTGAAATCATCATACGTTTTGCATCCGATTGGCGCAGATTCCACCGAAGTCGCCGGAACTGGGTTGATCTAGGACTCGCGCTCATTACCTGCGTCATCCAGATACCCGCGATCAAGCACTCGGGACGTCCGTATGATGTTCTCACCCTCTTTCAGATTCTCCGAGTATACCGAGTGGTACTAGCGTTCTCGGTTACCAGGAGCCTCATCATGGTTGTCTTTCGTAACGCGACTGGTCTGTTGAACTTGATCATGTTCGTGTTTCTGATTACGTTCCTTGCGTCCATCTTCGCAACCCAGCTTTTCCGCGGCCAGATACCCGCAGAGGACAATGATGGTGGCGAGGTCGATATCAACTTCGCTGATATATATAATTCTTTCCTCGGCATGTATCAGATTTTGTCCAGCGAAAATTGGACTACCATGTTATACGCCGCAACCACATTTACGTACCCGTTCAACACTGCCTGGATCTCCGCCGTCTTTATTATCTTATGGTTCATTGTGGCGAACTTCATCGTTCTCAACATGTTCATTGCCGTCATCCAGGAGAGTTTCGATGTTTCTGAAGACGAGAAACGGTTACAGCAAGTCAGGGCTTTCTTGGAGCAGAAACAGGTCAGCGGTAATTCTCAGGGGAACTTATCCCTGTCGAAGATCCTCATGCTGGGCAGGGACTCCAACCGCTACAGGGATCCTCTTGATCATGGACCAGCGGCCCTAGAGATGCTACTCAAAGATGCCGTTGTACGAGAATTCCTTGATGAGCAAGAAGCGCCTACAGAAAGCCGACGAGGGGACAATGTGCCTTTAGAGACAGCAGCGGCCGCGACGGCAGAGACCGTCCGCCCCGGCGTGTTCTCGCGGTGGTGGACGGCCATTACCACCTCTGTTTTGCGCAGGGAGCCGAATCCCTTCTATTCAAAACTGAAATTTTCTAGAGCATACGAAGACCTAGATCCGAAGGAAATGGCCAAGGAGGTGGTTTCTGCCGCTGAGCAGCGGAAACGAGCACAGCGAGAGTATTTGATGAGACACCCGAATTACAACAAGTCGCTGTTTATCTTCGCGCCTGACAATCCCGTTCGGAGACTTTGTCAACGCATCGTTGGGCCGGGACGCGGGCATCAGCGAGTCGAAGGAGTGGATCCCTATAAGCCGGTCTGGTATACATTTTCAGCTTTTGTCTACGCGGCGATTGTTGCCATGGTCCTGATCGCGTGCATCACCACTCCGATCTATCAGCGCAATTATCAAGTGCAGTGGCATGGCAAGGCTATCCCGTGGTATGTTTACACCGATACGGGCTTCGCAATCCTGTTCACAATAGAAGCACTTATTAAGGTCATTGCGGACGGTTTTTTCTGGACACCAAATGCATACTTTCGTGGATCATGGGGATTCATCGATGGAATTGTCTTGATCACTCTTTGGATAAATGTGGGCAGCTCACTGTTCAGGGATTGGGGCGTCTCTCGAGCTATTGG